GGAAGCAGCAGAGCCCTGAGACCTGCGTGAGGAGGGGGAGCCGCCCGGGGGAAGCTGTGGGAGGGAACGGGGTCCCGGGCTGGGGACCGGCAGAGGCAAAGGCATCTCTGCAGGGAAGCAGAGGCCACAGGCACCGACCGAAAGGCCTGCCTTCCAGTCCATGTTCCCGTCTGTGAAATGGGCCCAGCCGACGCCCCTGCAGCGTCCAGAGGCCCCAGTCACACACAGTGCACTCACGGCCCCGCCCCGTCTGCACCCCCATCCCTGGGGCCCCAGCCACCCTCCAGGAGCAGGGAGCAAGCCCTGCCCGTCGCCCAGACTGCCCCCGCATGGCAGAGCGCACCCCCCACACCAAGGGCCTCCTCGCAGCCTGGCCTCCAGTAAGTTGTTTTGGGTTTTTTTTTAATGAAGACCCAACAATCCCCCCACAGCCAGTTTTCCCCTCCAGCGGCCGGTTAAAATGAACTCCCGACGACTGGATTAGACTTTGAAGGTGCCCACGGATCTCGATAATGAACCCGGAGGACGCGGTGTTGACACAGGCCCGGAGAGCGGGATGATTATTCAACAGTCCGCCGCCGCTTCCTCTGGGGTCAGGGAGCTGAGCGAGCGGTTGGTGGGCAGGCGTCAAACCCAGAGCCGGACCGCGGGCGCTGCGCCGCGCCACGGAAGACAGGCTGGGCAAGGTCAGGGGCAGCCGGCAGCAGCAGCCGCGTGGGCCTCAGGGAGAGGGCCCTCCCCGGGGAGCCCCCACACACCCCGGGGCCCACACACGCTGGGTTGTCTCTGGCTGGGGCACCCTCCCCGCCGCCTCTCTTCCCTCGCCCCTCAGTGCCCAGCCTCCTCGGGGGGCCCACCCTCCAAGAGCCTCCACCGCTCCCCCCACCCCTCCTCCAGCTGCATCTGGCACCCCTTGCGTCTCCCCTGGGCTCCCAGTGGGCCTCCCCGTTCTGGCTGGCACTGACCGTCCCGCACTGGACGCTGAGCTCAGGTCTTCCTCGGGTCCACCCCCCAGGACCTGACATGAGGGCCCAGAGAGCAGGACACCGCCTGTCCGTCTCCCGCGGCCAGTGCCCCTGCCGTGTGCACTACGTGAGCTGGACGGGCCGTGGCCGAGAAATGGGAGCAGGTGCGATCCTAGGACCGGAAGACGTTCTGGTGGGAAAAGCAGGTGTGTGAATCAATGACAGTTCCCAAGACTGAACGTCTGACGGGACAGAAACTGCAGGGGACAGTGCAGCCCAAAGGGGGCTGAGCCTCCAGCCCACCAGAGTGACCGGCACAAAGGTTAAGAGCAGACTCAAGCGCAGAATGCCCATGCCCAGATCCCAACCTCTGCCTCCCTCCACTGTGTGACTTCGGGCAAGTCACTTAACCTCTCTGTGCCTCTGTTCCCTCGTCTGTAAAGTGGGAATACTAACAGTGCTCATCTCAGAGAGTGGTTTGAGGATAAGCAAGTTAACTCGTGCCAAGTACTGAAACCCGTACCGGGTCCACATCGAGTACTCAGTATGTATTGGCTACTATTCACTTCCTGGGGGGGGGGGGGAGCTCCTGAGGGTTAACACAATCCTCAGATCAACCCCCCGCGTCTTCAGATCTGGGCCAGGGACACAGGAGCCACACCCTCCGTCAGCAGTAATACACCCCTTCAGGCTTGGAGCGCTGGGTGGCTGTGAGTACCTCACAGCCCCAGGGGGTGGTTTCTGGAGCCTGGGGGAGGACTGGGGTGACGCCCTCCCTTGGAAGAGGGGCGTTCTGCAGCAAAGGTCTCCCGACAACCCAGTCCCGCGGGTGCTGCGCCCCAGGCACACCTGTGCGCGAGGCCCCCGAAGCCCAGACAGCAGCCCCAGCCCGAGTCCCAGCTCGGTACCCCCCCTCGGTGCCTGGCTGGCTGCAGGAGGCACCGAGAGGAGACGGACGTGGGGCGGGCGGCCGTGCAGACCGGGAGGTCGTTAGCAGCAGCCAGACCGAGCTGTTGAGCTGCTCCCGAGCCTGGGCGCTGGGGCAGGCGGCTTCCTCTCTCTCCCCAGCAGCGGCAGAGCGCGGCTTCATTAAACATGCATGGCGATCCCCTCGTTACCGTGCCCAGGGATCGTGAGTGCGGAGGGCGAGCTGCCCACACAAACTTTCCGATCTCCCTGGCGCGCAGCCTCCTTCGCCGCCCTTCCCTGCATCCGTCTCCCCGCACCCAGCGCTTCCCAGCACCCTCCGCGGTGTGTGCGGAGCGGGCGAAAGGCCGTGGGGAGCCCCTTTGGTAAGAGCGGCGGCGGGTCCAGAGCTCATCTTGCAGCATCACAGCCGCGGGCGGGAGCCCGGTGGCCCCTCCGACAGCAGGGCCGGAGCTGAGGTGAGGGGCCTGGGCCCCACTGCCCTGTGGCTGGCAAGGGGCAGAAGGGGATGAGAGGTGGGCCGGCCCCACCCAGGCCCCCGGTGCTTCCCTCCGTCCATCCGTCTCCGGGCCCTAGGGCAGCGGTCGGTGGGAGGAGGCAGCCCCGCGGGTGAGGGGAGAGGAGGGCAGACCCGAGAGGCCATACAGACAGACACACGCCCACAGACACGGGCGCTAAGGAAGCAGCTCTATTCTCCAAATGATCCACAGGCCACGGCAGCGGGGATTTCAGTGAGACGGATCACTGCACCGCTCACTGGTGTTCCTCCGGCACCCACTTTGTGTCGGCACCGGCACCGTGTGAGACGGTCCTTGGTGCGAACATTCTCCCTCACTCCTCCTCGGGGAGCTCTACACGACCACCCCATTTCACAGCCGAGGTGACTGAGGCCCCGGAGACTTGGGGCCTTGTCTGGGGGCTAAGTGCTTGGCAGGGGCAGAGCCAGGTCCCATCTGAAGCAGCTGCGGGCACACCACACACGCCCGAGGAAGGGGAGCCCAGGGACCCAAGGTGGGCACAGCTGGGACGGGGACCTCTCCCTCCTGAGAGGCGGGTCTGATCCCCCGGGTGGCGGTGCTGGGAACGCCCTCCGCCCAGCCGGGGGCCCCAAGAGCCTGCACTGCCCCGCCCCATCCCCCCTGCTCTGCCCCCAGCTCACCTGTGTCCCCCCAACGGTCCCGGGAACTGGCAAGGGCGGGCTCTGTCTCCATTGTTACACTGGAGGCCCCCCAGAGGCAGGAAGTGTCTCCACCTCACACTGGTGGCCCCCGGAGGGCGGCACGAGGACCCCTTGCCCTGCCCACCGCTGGCCCAAACCAGGCCCCAGCGGGGAGCTGCTGGCTGAGCGGCCCTGCTCCCACGGCTCTCCTCCGGGGCTGGGCGAGCCTGTGCAGGCTGCCGGCAGGAGATAGCAGCAAGGACGCCCGGGCCTGGGGTGGGGACAGTGTGGGGACGGCCCGGGAGGGGCCGCAGGGGGGCAGGCCAAGGAGACACTGATGAGCCTCATCCCTGCTCCTGCCAAGTGGTTGAGCCCAGGTGAGCCCAGGTGAGCCCGGGACCCCAAAGGCCCGGGGAGAGCCAGCCTTCCCGCTCACTTTCCCCTCAGGAGGCCGAGAAGGTAAGAAACCCTTGGAGACAAGAGATGGGGTTGGGGTAGGGAGAGCAGGGAAGCCCCCCATAAAGCAAACCAGGGGCTGGGAAGGGACTTGGGGGCTGCAGCGGCTCTGGGCTCCTCAGCGGAAATCTGGCTCCACCCAGGAGAAAGAGGACCAAGAGATCAGGACCTCGTGGGGCAGCGGTCTCCCTGTCTGTTGGCTCCTCCCAGGACCCCCTCCCCAGAGCCCCCCCCCAGCAGTACAGAGTCCGGAGTCCGAGTGTGGGAAGAGGGTGCGACCCAAACAGCCCTGGAGGGGCCCAGGAGTCACTTTAGCCCCCTCCCCCGCCCCGCCCATTTCTCCTCAAAGGACAGTTATAGCTCAAAACCCAAACCCCTGACCCCGGCAAGGTGCTGGGCCATGTGCCCCTCCGCCCTCCCCAGCGCCCAGGAAACCCGCCCGGCCCTGGTCAGAACCGTGGCCCCCAAGCACCCCCTGACTCAGCGAGCGAAAGGACCCTGTCCCGGAGGGACAGACTCGTGTTCGCACACAGGCCCACGCCCGCACCCAGGAGGTGCGGGGCAGACCCGGGACCAGGTGCGGGGGCCAGGTGCGCACAGCACCGAAGCTTCGACGGGTCCCGGGGCTCACCCACCGCCCCCTGCGCCTCGGTTTCCCCCATCTGCCAAGCCAGGACTGTGGTCCAGAATCTGTCCTGATCACCCACGGTCCGCCGGACAACGGCTGGACTCCACCAGCGTTCCCGCCCGGCTGCTGAGGGGCCGATCTATGGCCATCCGCAGGATGACCGCGTGGGGGACCAAAGACGGCCCCCACAGGAAAGCTCACCTGGGGCACCCGTCTGTCCTGGCGGCCGGCCTGCACCCAGAGCCCCATTCGGGGCTCCGTGGCAGCTCCTTCCAAACTGATAACACAAGCAAATCAGGCGACGGCCGACATCACCGCTCAGGGAGCCCTGCCCAAGTCTCACACCAGCGCCCCCCACCCCAGGATTGGCCCTGGGTCCAGCGGTGAGGCAGCTTGGGCAACGCCGCTGGTCAGTGGTGACAGGCGGGGAACCAGGCCGAGCCAGCATGAGCCCCCGGGGCTGGGCTCTCCGCTCGGGGCCGAGGCAGGACCCAGCAGCCTCCACCCACACACTGCCCAGGGGAACCCGGCCTCAGCACAGCTGCGTCCACACTGGCCACCCCCTCAGCAGCACAGCTGGGTCCCGGGCACCAGGGCGAGGACAGCCGCCTCCATTGGCAGTGACAGACACAACTGAGGATGCACGTCCCAGCCCGGTGTGGTCGGGACCCCCCGCCCCGTCGCAGCAGCCCCTGGGATGCATGTGGGTGGGGCAGAGCACAGGCCCAGCAGGGGCGTCCCCGCCTCCCGACAGACTCAGACACAGGGATGCGACCCACTCTGCAAAGGTAAGAAGGGTCAGCGAGGGTGTGCCCCGCTGACGGCCCCGCGGGCAGGGCCGCCAGCCACGAGGAGGGGCCAGTACCTGGGTCTGCAAGCTGGCGGCGTCCAGGACGGTGACCCGAGGCCCGCAGCTGGCCCACACGGCGTCCTCCAGGCTCAGCAGCGTGCGGATGGGCCCTGGCCCCACGGTCAGGCACACGGGAGGGCTCTCCAGGTTCCAGGGGACGTCTCCTGGGGAGAGGAGGAGGGGACAGGTCAGAGCCCGCCCAGGGCTCCTCCACCCCCAGGGGCCACGGCCGGCAGCGGCGGGCCCAGCCTGGTTCTGCAAGACCCTCCAGCCCGGTTCCGTGGCCCCTCTCCCTCCTCCCAGGGGCATGTGGGCTGTTCCCATCAGCCTTCGTCGACGTGCCACCCCCTGGGGGCTGCACTCCCCCCTTCTCTTCCTCTCCTTCCCCCTCCTGTCCACTCAGTCCACTCACACCTGCCTTCCCGAGAGGAAGTCAGTCCCCAGTCCGCCACCCCTGAAGCTGGAATAAACCAGGGGCCCTGGCGTGGCACTGAGCAAGACTCTCCCCTGCCCACCCCGGGGACGCTTGGCTCCCCCGAGAACAGGCCGGAAATCTCCCCTGCGGGCAGTGTTCAAGGACACTGGCTCTTCTCTTAAGTCACGCAGAACCCCAGTGGCTGCCCTGTCTTGCCGGGGTGCCAGGTGGGACAGGGGGTGGGGGGCAGGGCATGGGGGCACGCCCCGGGAAGACAGCAGCAGCGGCTGGGTCTGGGAGGCAGGACGGAGCCCACCGCGGGGATGCCAGTGACCAGCCAGCCCGCACACCCTCCGCCAGGGCCCTGCAAGGAAGGCAGAGCAGCCCCCCACAGAGCCTCCTCTGAGCCGGCTGCTGGTGACCCAACGGGGCACAGTGGTCTGCAGGCCAGGAGGGGCCACTGCCTGGCGGAACCACTGCCTGGGGCATGGCGGCAAGAGCCCTCGGCGGGCAGAGCAGCCTCCCCACCACGACCACCCCGCCAGGCTCTCCCTCCCTCCCTGCCCTCCCGCCCCCATAAAACAGGTTTGCCTCTGGCCCTTCCATCCTACTTAAAACCGCAGACCCCCAGCTCACCTAAGAGCTGGGGAACAGGGACCCCCCTCAAACACACAACTGGGTCTTTCCAGCCCATGCACATGAGCAGGGGGGAAGCAGGCTGTGGCGGGGTTCCTCCAGACTCCCGCATGAACGAGGACAGGGGACTTCTCCTCCCTGGGCCTGAGTTTCCTCATCTGTAAAATGGGCACGACGCGGCGCCTCCCCCTCGCCGGGCGCTGCAGGAGCCAACGGGAGCGGGCAGGACGTCGGGCACAGGGTGGGCGCACGGTGAGGCGGCTGAGAACTGCCGCTACGGGCCATTCTGGGTCTGCACGCCAGGCGCCGTTTCCACGGATCGTTTCCCAACGCCCAGCCTGAGCCTTCTACCCTCACCCCTGCGTTACAGCCGAGGAAGCGAGGACAGAGAGGGTTTCGACAGCCAGCCCAAACCCGCAGCTAGGGGTGCCCCGGGCTCATCAGCTCCCACTGCTCGGTGCCGAGTGTCACAACAGTCGGTGGAAATGGGTGTCGACTCCTTTTGACTAGTGTGACAACGGAGACCAGGGAGCTGAGCACACACCCAAAGCCGCCCCAGGGGTGACAGGCCCCACAGGACTGAATGAAACTCAGCTGACTCTGGCCTGAGCCATCCTCCCCAACCCCTGCTGCCTTCTCAGGTTCCAAAAGCTTCCAAAGGGCTCTGCGGCCATACCCGGGGGCAAGCAGGGGCGAACGACCACAAACAAGGCAGCCACGCCTCCATGAAGCAGGCACACTGACCTGCACCAGGACGCCAGAATCACAAAATACAAAGCTTTGAGCGCCCTCCAGTGTCCACATGTGAGTAGTGCTTGTGGCCAGAAGCTGATGCTCCAGCCTCTGTGGCTAAAGGTGGGGACTGCGATCTCCTCGCCAGAAAGCAGTTGGGGATACTGGGACCACACCCCAAAAATTAGTAAATGGGGGCTCTGTCCTGTGGGCACAGTGGTGATGGCTACCAAAACCCCTGCAACCTCTACCTGCACTTTCCTGGAACAGCATGGCCATGGCTGCCTGGGGCCGGGGCGAGGGGCTACACTACACCCCCGAGGGTCACGGGGTGTACCCCCAAGGGTCCTGAGCACGGCTCCACCTGCGGGGTTTCTCCAGGAACCTCTCAGCTGTCCTGACTCCAGGACAGAAGGTTAAACTGTGGTAATACCTGCATGGTTATAGCACGCACTGGGCAGTGGTCCCCGATTCGAGGGCCCACGGTGGGACCCGGAACAAGAGGCTGCCCCTTGCTGGGACTCAGTTTCCCCAGCTGCACCCCACAGGGACAGGACTCTGACCTCTAAGGTTCTTCCCGGCCCTCACGGGCCACAACCCTAGCGTTCTGGACACAACCACCATGAGCTCTGCATAGGGCGAGCCCCCTGCAGCCCGCCAGGGGGCCCCCCCTCCACTCCACTCCTTGCCCTCCGGGTTTTAGGTGCACACGTACCCGGTCCAGAACACGCACTCACACACACACACACACACACACCCTGTGTGACAGCCCATTCGTCTGGGCCAGTCGCCGCTCTCATGTGGCCAGGCGAAGGGAGAGGGAGGCCCTGTCTCAGCAAAGGCACCGTCAAGAGGCTGGAGCCCCTCCCGCCCCCCCCCCCAAGGAGGAAGCCCGGGGTTTCCCTCGGGGGTCCGGATCCAGCAGAAGCCCGAGGGCAGGACAGAGTAAAAGTCACGGAGACCTCGAGGGACCCAAAGGGCAGCCGTGCCAGGTCAGAACCAAGGATAGTAGCAGCCGTGCGGATGGGGGTGGGGTCACAGGCACAGGTCTACACGCCAGGTCCACCCTGCGCACTTGTGTGGCTGATCGCACCCGGCCGTAGCGCCCAGCCTGTGCGGTATGGCTGTCTTCATCCCATTCTACAGGCGGGGAAACTGAGGCCCCAGGAGATGAAGCAACAGGCCCAATCTCACAGCTAGATCTCAACCCCAGGCAGCCTGACTCCCCAGCCTGTCGCCTCAGCCATTCCATCATCTGGCTCCTCCTGCAGGGGGTGCCCCTGACCCACAACCCTGGCAGCTAAGCAGGGACGTCCCCACACCTGCCCCCAGGCCTGGTCATGCCCCTGTGCCTCCTCGGGGACGGGGGAGACAGGAGGGACCCAGAGGGCTCTGCTGGGACACAGGACTGGGTCAGGGCCCGCCTGGCTCCTCTCTGGGTCCCGTGTCCTGCTCAGTGCCTGGCACCTTGGGACACTGAACACACATTTTCTGAGTGAGTGAATGAGTGAATAAGTGACTACCAGGGCCACACCGCTCTCAACCTCGGTTTCCCCACCTGTCAGCTGCAGGTTGTGCTCGGAGGCCCCTGCAGCTCTGACAGAGTCCAGGACTCCAAGGGACCTGGTGGCCCTGGATTCCTCAGTCACTTCTCAGCTGCTGATTCCACAGGTCCTCCGGGCTCAGGCAAATCCCAGGTTAATATTTCTGGTCCTGCCCTCTTGCAATGAGCCAAAGCATGGGCCAGAACACCAGTTTTATCCGGTCTTGGTCTCAGCCAATCAAGGCAGGACTTCTCATCCTAAACCAGCTCCGAGCCCAGGATTCAGGTCCGGATCATGCATAATCCCCAGGCCCTCTGGCCATCAGGGGGCGCCAGAGGAGGGTTCTGCAGGCACTGAGCTCTGAGCTCTGGGGCTGGGATGGAGCAGGGGTGTCTGAGGGGTACCCATGGCCTTGGGGAGTCTGGAGGAAGTCCCACAGCTCAGTCATGGGCACAGCTGGTGACCACAGTCCCAGCCACATGCAGCCCAAGTGAAAGGTGATGGAGACGATGCCCCCACCCCCACAATGCATCGTCCTGAGAGCCTCCCTCCCCGCCCCGGCCATGTCTGCAGAACACCACAGGCCGGGGCAGCACCCGGCAAGGCCTCTCCCAGAGGTTTCTCTGGCCAAAGCCAACCTCCTGGAGAGAGGGACCCAGGCTCACCTGCCCGGCTGTCTGTGGCTACGGCAGCCTCCCAGCCAGCAAGCCTCCCTGCCTCCACTCCTGCCCACCCGCCAGAGGGCGCACAGTGCTCAGCCACTTCCAACACCTCCCTCCACCTCCCATCACCCGAGACGAGCCCAAGGTCCACAGGACACGGCGTCTGCTCCCAGACCTTGCCTCGTGCCACTTCCCCCTCCGGCTGCTGTCCGGCAGGACAACCTCCTCCCTGGCTCCCGCCACAGGATGAGCCCTCTCCTGCCTCCAGGCCTTTGCGCACGCTGGTCCCTCCGCCGAGAGCACCAGTCCCTCTACTCCTCATGTACCCAGCCCCTTCTCCTTCAGGACTCGGCTCTGGGTCCTGCTCCTTGCAGAGGCCTTTGCTGACCAGCCCACCTCATGCCCAGAAGGGTCAGGCGCTCGTCTGACACCCTGCCCCTCCTTCAGGGCCCCCAGCAGGAGACGTAACTGTAAGCACCCTGCTTGCTCACTTGACCCACTCTGTCTCCATCTGCAAACTCTGTGAGGGCAGGGTCACGCCTGTTTCACTGCCACTGTATCCACGGTGCATAGTAGGTGCTCAGGAAACAGTTAGTGGACAAATGTTGGTTGGCAAGGCAGGAAAGGCACCTCAACCTTCCCCTCCGGGCCAGACGGCTGCTGGCTCCGCTCGGAGAGGCCAAGGCCCCCTTGCACCAGCAGAGGGGTCCAGCCCCGAACGAGGCCAGGTTCAGGTTTCTGCTCACCCCTGAGACTTTGGGGAGTCTCTTCCCACCTGGAAAACGAGGGTGTGGAGTTCAATGGTGCTCAATGGCCCTTCTTATTCTAACAAACTGCCAGGCCCAACCCAGACCGAAAGCCAGTGGTTAGCTCCAAAACCCCCTGTGGGCTGAAATGCGTCCCCTAAAAATTCCGGTGTCAAGGTTCTAACCCCCAGCACCTCAGCACGTGACCTTATTTGGAGACAGGGTTGCTGCAGACATAACTAGTTGAGAGGAGGTCGTACTAGAGCAGGGCCGGCCCCTCATCCAATGTCACGGGCATTATTATAAGACAGGGCAGCCCCAGCAAACACACATACACTCACCTCCCCTCTCCCAAGCTGATGAGTCAGGGACCAGGAGGCCAAGGGCCAAGGGCAACCCCAACCACGGAGCAGGGGGGGCAGAGAGGGCACGGCGTGGCTCCCGGTATTCTCCGCAGTGGGGGCCCCGGGGCAGAGCACCCCCCGCAGAAGCCCTTGTCTAATCTCCGAAGATCCCCGCCGATGCCTGCACTCTCAGGCGAGCTGTGACGGTGAGAGTTTTTTTTTTCCCTCCCTCTTCCCCCTTTAATTAAAAACTATAAATGCCTTATCAAAAGCTAATTAAAAATACCAACACAGTGCCAAGTGGCGAAAAAATAGCTCAGTACGAATATCCGTTTATAACCCTGCAACAGGCTGCGATGACGCAGCAATTAGAGGCTCGTGGGAGGGAGAGGGAGGGAGGGAGCTCCGGCAGCCACAGCGCTTCGGCCCCACCGGCCCCCTCCCCGGGGCACTGGGGACCCCCTGCCCTCTCCGTCCAGCCCTCGTCGTCCTCGCACTGCACAGACCTCAAGGGACAAGGGACCGCGGCACTCGCGAGGCTGTGGACAAGCCGCGTCCCCTCCCTTGTCTCCGTGTCGGGTCTGCAGAGAGGAGGCAATTCTCGAGGGCTGCGGTGACAATTAAGATAATGCGCGAACATCAAGTCCTTTGCCGGGTTTCTAGAACACGGCAGCGCGAACGCTGTTCGCCCTGCTTTGCAGACGTCACCATCTGGTGGCCCTTGACGGCTCGGTAACACGACAGAGACCGAAACGCCGGGCTCCAAGGGGGAATCACGGTGCCGGGCCCTGTGCTCTGCCCTCACCGGGTTGTTTAGCCGTCCGGCGCCCACAGGTGGTGGGTTCTACCGTTATTCCCACATTAGAGACAAGGAGACGGGGCGTGAGGAGGAGAGGCCACTCACCGATGGTGACGGCTGCCACCAAGACACAGCCGGGACAGGAAGCCAGGTCTGAGCCCAGACCCCGCGGCTCTCATCCAGCCAATGTGCTGAATGCAGGGACCCATTCCTGCAGGGACCCCGATGGGGAGCAGGGACCTCCAACGCCCCCAGCTCTGAGCTGCCTCCTCGGCCCGCCTCCCACAGCCGCTCTGGGACGGAATCCGGGAGGAATCCGGTTCCCGATCGGGGCCGGGGCCACCCCCGCCCGCACCGCCGCCCCAGCCCCACGTTCTCACCGCTGGTCCGAGGGTAGGCGGCGAGGGTCCCGTCCTGCAGGCCGGCCAGCAGGTGGAAGGGGCTGCACCGCAGGCAGAGCACGGGCTGCAGGCCGGGGCTCCGGCAGGTCGCCAGGCACTGGGTGCCCGTGTCCACGCTGCTGTAGACCAGGATGCTGTGGGGAGAGGCCCACGTGGCTCTCTTAGCCCCCACACGCCCTCCAGAGAGAAGGGTCGGGGGCTCCCCCTCCCCGCTCAGCCAGGCCCCCTGCCATGTGACCGGGCCTCGGCTGCACCCTTGGGAGGCTCAGACTTTCCCACGGGGAGGCCTTGTGAGGAGGGTGCCTCCCTGGACTCTGTCTTGCGGAGGACTCAGTGGGGGGCGGGGGGGGCCTCCAGAAGCAGCACAGTGAAGGGGCTGCCGGAGTGCAAATCCAGCCACGCCGCCTTCCACCGCATCGGCCCCGGCCTGCTGAGCCTCAGTCCTCTCCAAACCTGGGGCGCAGGCGCCCACCTCATCACCATAGAGAGGAACGAGGTGCAGGCTGGAGCTATGCTGCGCACGGGGCCGGCAGAAAAGGCCACACGCTGTAGGACTCCATGTCTGTGGAACTCGCAGCAGAGACCAGTCCACGGGGACGGGAGGCAGAGGAGTGGTTCCCGGGGTGACTGCTCGGTGAGGACAGGGTCTCGCTAACGCCGGCTCTCCCTGGACGGTAGCTGCCCCGCTGCCCAGGAAGGAGCCAGCTTGCAGGAAGCAGCCCCTAAGGGGTCTCGGTTCAGTGCCGCAGACTCCTGACACCGGCTCCCACGTTGGGCGGCCCCAGTCCCCATCTTCCTTCTCGGAACCAGGGGTGGAAAACGTCGGCGGGCAACAAGCTGACCAAAGCAGCCCCCGCCCAGGCCTGCCACTGGCTGGTCCCGCGCCCACCCCAACCCGCCCCCACCGGCCCCTCACCTGCCGTCCTGGAGCCCCAGGCAGATGGTCGGGTGCGCCGCAGCCGAGGGGTCAGGGGCCGGGTGGCCCTCGTCTCCGTCTCTGTCTCCGCTCTCCCCTTCCTCCGGCTCCGGGATGTACTCCATGCAGAGCACGGGGGCCGCCAGCGGGAAGGACTTGACCGTTCGGGGCGAGGGCCGGTTCAGGGAGAAGATCTCCACCTGGCCGCTGGCACCCTCCTGCCCGCCCCCGACCTGGGGCGGAGACCCACAGAAGCTGTCAGGAGGGGCCCGCGGAGCGGAGGCGGAGCTTCATTCCTGGCCTTCCCCCGCCCTCGCCCCCGCCCCAGTGACCCGTCCCAAACTCCTGCTTGCCACTGATGACTGACAGGAGCAGCCCCCTCCTGCCCACACGCGTCCTGCTGTCACTGCAGGCCGCTTATCCCAGCGTCCAAGGCAGCAAGTTAGATTCGGGGCCCGTAGGAAACCAGGTAAGGAGCTAAGGTGGACTAGATACCAATCAGCTTTCTGTTCCCTTGTCCTCAGGGTAGATTTCAGTCAACAAATAGTGAACATGCACTCTACCCTTTTGAAAGGTCCTTCTCCGCCTGCTCACTGTTTCACTTCAGTGTCAGGCAGACGGCAGGTACTTAATATACACTGGCTGAAGGGGTGCAGGAGTGGATGAGTGGGTGGATGGGTGGATAATGGAAGGAAAAAAGGAGAGAAGGAAGGATGAATGGATGGATGGATGAATGGATGAACGAATGAGTAGATGGGTAAATGCATGGATGAATGGGCAAATGAAGTGAGGAAGGAAGGAAGAAGGATACACGGATGGATGGATGACTGGATGGATGGATGGATGTATGGATGGTAAATGGATGGTGGATACATGGATGGATGGATGGACACATGGATGGATGGATGGATGAATAGATACATGGATGGATGGATGGACACATGGATGGATGGATGGATGAATAGATACATGGATGGATGGTGGATGGATACATGGATGATGGATACATGGATGGATGGTGGATGGATACATGGATGATGGATACATGGAAGGATGGATGGATGGTGGATGGATACATGGATGGGTGGATGGATGGTTGGATGGATGGATGGATGGATACATGGATGGATGGATGGACACATGGATGGATGGTGGATGGGCAGTGGATGGCTACGCGACATGCTAGACACTGGAGAAACAGAGAAGAACAAACCGCCTGCAGGAGGGACATTTGGCGTGGACTCGGAACGGTAAGCCGGAGGCTCCTGCCCAGTGCCTCGAGACAGGAATAAGCCGGGGGAGTCAGAGGACGGCCGGAGGGGTGGTGGGGCTTCGCCAGGAAGCCTGAGGGCAGCAAGGCGGGCTGGGGTCTCCGAGAGACGGCAAGAGCCAGCCCTGACTTCCAACCCCGGGGTGGAGGCCCCGTCCTACGGCCATTGGCAAGAGCCATGCCCACTTATTTGTCCCCCGGTTATCCAGGGACTTGCTAGTCCCTGGTAAGGCTGCAGGTGCCAACCCAGGCACAGGGCCTGGGGCAGCGGTCCCCAGGAAGACCTTGCCGGGTCAAGCCACAAAATGGGAGCCAGCAGGCAGGCGGCTTTCTCCAGCAACTCCCTGCCCGGTGCCACTCTCCCCGTTCCCATCCCGAGGCCAAACTCCTGGCTGGGGACAGCGGTCACTCACCCAGAGGTAGCCCTGCGGGAGGGAGGTGCTGACCGCCGAGAAGCCCAGCAGGGGACAGCTGACAGGACTGTGGACCAGCGCCCCAAGCTGTGGAGACAGAAAAGACACATGCGGCGTTCCGTGTCGGGGTGCCCGGGAGGCCAAGGTCTGGCTGCGCCACCTGCAGGGCTCGGGGGTCGCTATACCTGCAGGTTCCTGGGCCCCATTCAGGCCCCAAACGAGGACCCCTGAGCGGGGGCCGGGGAAGGGACGGGTTTCACAGGGTCTCTGGGAAGCTTCTTTGCGCTCGCCTTGGACCACCGCTGGCCTAGAACCTTCGGGCTAGGAGGGGCCTGGGCGACACCCCTGGACCCCCAGGGACCTTTCCAACTGGCCAGCAACCAGTGAAAACTGGCTGAGAACCACTGACACCCACCCCACCCTCCTTTATGTCACGGGTGGGGAACACGTGGTCCACAGAGGACACGTTTGTGGTCCCGAGGCCACCAGGAAGGCGAGTGATGGGGCCTGGCCTGTGCCCGCCTCCCGAGAAGCAGAGTGGGTGGAGGGTCCCAGAGCCATCCTGCAAACGAGCCACCGGGACGGAGAGCTGGGTGGCGTGTGCAGCCTGCCGACAGGGGCCGGGGGCTCTGTTTGTAACAAGTGTCACCAGGAGCCACCGGCTGCTGGCTCTTCTGCAACTGCTTCCCCAACGTCCACGCCAGGTGGCTCTCTGGGGCGTTTCCTGAGCCCGACCCTGCCTGTCTGTCCCTGACCAGGCCGGCAACGGAGAGAGGTGGCCTGGCCCTGTCACAGGCTTGGCTGGGAACCCTGGGCCGATGGCCAGGGAAGGGGGCAGAGGGGTGACAGCTCAGAGGGGCCAGCTGAGGAGGACTCAGCCACCACCGGACCCTTTCCCGAGCAGGTGCTGCCCTCTGCTGGTGCCGAAGGCCCAGGCCAGCCCCAGCCCTGCTGGAATATTCGAACGAAATTTCTAATGGCCAAGGGTGGGGAGGCCCAAAGAGGTCACCTCTTCCAGCCTCCAGCCCCCCACTCAGGAGTCAGCAACCTTGAAGTTCAGGGCAGGGGCCAGGACTGGCTCCAGGTCGCATAGTAAGTCAGTGGCAAAGTCTCTTCTGGTTGAATTCCGCCCAGAGGCCACACTGGAGGCCTCAGGGTCCCTCCTCCGCCCAGCTGGCTGCCAGCCTTCTGGGCACCCCAGACCCCTGCTCCCCATAACTCTGCTTCTTGGCCACATGCAGCTGGGTGCCCAGCCCTCTCTGCCAGGCTGCGCCTGTCCTCCCGGCTAGGGAGGGGGTAAATGCAGCCCTGGCTCTGGCATTCCCATGGCAACCCCAGCAGCCCCGATGTCAGCAGCGCCCAGGTCCAACACAATGGCTAAACCTCGAACGGCCCCTGGACCCAGAGTCCCGTCCGTGCCCACGCAGCAGAGAGGGCGGCCGCCTGAGGCCGGAGGATGGAGCAGGCTCTGGAGGCAGCTCAGCTGCCACTGGCAGGGGGACCCACCCAACGGCTCTCGGGGTCACGGGGACTAGAGACGGCGGGTGTGCACAGGGGGGCGCCCGGCAGCCGCTGCTTTCCCAAGACTCTGTGGGACATCCTCTCGCGTTCCCCGCGGTGACTCGCTCAGCCGGCACAACACCACCGTGAGGGGAGCGGCTGTTACAGACGAGGGGCTGTGACCGAGTCAGGGGACAGGGGCCCCACGCACTCACAGAGGGCGACAGGCGGGACGGAAGCCACTCGGCTAGTCTGCTGACCCTCCGCCATCCGGCTTCAGGTCCTCTGTGGGCTTCAGCCACTCCACGCCCCCCACTCCACCCCCGTGCTCGCCCTCCCATTCCCCAGGCGCTCGCACAGTGGAGTGCCCCAAGGCAGGCAGTGCCCTGCCGGCTTCCCCAAGCCCCTGTCCCCGGGCAGGCCTCCTGGCTGGACCTCAGCCCCCAGGGACATGGGTCTGTGACGGGCCCTCCCCTTGTCTTCCAGGGGCAGCCTCTCACTTGGATGGAGCTGGGGGTCCAGTGAGAACCTCCTGACACCTCAGGAGTAGTCAGGCCACCAGAAATGCCCCAGAACAAACACCAGTGGCGTTTCCCTCCTGGGGACCAGAAAATCCTCGGACATCCGCTTTCTGAACTCGGGGCGGGCCCTGCGGCGGGCGCGTGTGACATGGATTGCGTCATGCAACCCTCCCTAGAACCCGGTCGGGGAAGCTCTGCAGCCGCCTCAGTTTACGCGCGGAACACGCAGCTGTGACACGGAGCAGTGTCCCTCCTGTTGGACAGCTGGGATTTGAACCTGGGCAGGTGGCTCCCGGTGATGGTCTTCCCCCGCCCCCAACCAGATCCCTCGGGTCAGAGGGCCCAGGCAGGGCCCAGCGCGGGCACCAGTCATACCCGTCCACACTGGAAAGAGAAATGCTCCTTCCCTCGGCCCCCACGTCCCCGTTCCCTTGAGGGGAAACCCAGCACGCACCCTCGGCCAGCTGGCTGACCACGAGCGCTGACCACGGCGGCACTGGGGGCGGCAGGCCAGGGCACTGAGCCTTCTGGGAGGACAGACTCAGCCTCCAGCTCCCACGGGGCCGGCTGCGGAGCCCAGCGGGAATCCCGGGCCCTGGGCCTGGGGGAAGGTGGAGGGAGGGAGGGAGGGAGGGGCGCTGGCCAGCAGGTTCGCAACATTCCGAGGTGAGGGTCAAGGCACCAGCGCAGCGAGGCCCTAAGGCGCCTGCCACCGGCACTGGGCTGATGACGGGGCATATCTGTCCGTCTGTCCGTCTGTCCGTCTGTCCAGGCTGGGAGGCAGGCACTGGCACTGTGAGGGTGTCTCGGGGCCCAGCAAACGGGATATGCATGCCCTGGTAGGTCCCTCGGGAGCGCCACAGGCACATTACCCACAGTTCCCTGGGCTCTCGTTGGGGGCTCCCCAGGGCGGGGGGTGGGGATGCCTCCAGCCCGCACATCCCGGCCCTGAGAGCTCCGAATGGAGAGCCTCTGGGGCCCCTTTCCCTCAGTTTCAGAGTGGCAGGTGGCTCCACACCTGGGTGGGGGTTCCTTCTGCCCTGGAGGCGTGGCCTGTGTGTGACTCTGCCCCCCCAGGGGGTGACCCATCAGTAAGTCTCAGAGTCCCGAGAGGCCCAGGGGGGAAGGGAGGTGGGGACCGTTCCCCACCCCACCTGGTCGGCCTTCCCCACACAGGCCCTAAGGCCAGGTGGGACACGGTCAGGGTGGACCCTGAACAGTCCCCACTCCTCGCGCCCCGAGGCCTGCTGGGAAGGAGCTCCGAAGACGCAGCAGGCCTTTGGTCCCTCAGTATGTGAGGACGGAAGCCCTACGCAGGGCAGGCTCCCCCAGGCCGACAGAAATGAACGGCGTCCCAGCCACCCCTGGAATTTTTAGTGGGGGGGCCACACCGCGGCACACACCAGCTGAGCCCCCGCGGGAGGCGGAAAGGGGAGGGACCCGGCAGGAGTCTAGAAGAATCTCCCTCGAGTGCTGCTCCGAAACCCCCCTCCCAGCCTCCAGGACTGACAGCCCACCTCTGCGGGCAGCTGGGGGGACGAGAGAGCGAACCCCTGAGAAGCAGCTCCCGGAGCCAGGCCTGGCACCCAGGCACCTCGGGGGGTGGGGGAAGCTCTCCGTCACACGGCCAAGACCAAAGAACTTTGAGAACTATCTGCCGGTTGCTATGGCCACTGCTGACTGAGCACAGGTCATGGGTGTAAGGCGCGGTGCCGGGGGCCTGCTTCTGGGGCTCTCTCCCCCTGAGCCCCTAAATCTGGCAGTGGCGCCCAGGGCACCACACCGCCAACAGCGCCCCCTTCCGGGGGCACGAGCCAAAGACCTGGGCACAGGTTGTCTCTCCTGCCCCTCAGCCCCCGTCCAACCTCCCACCGCAGGCCGGCCCTGCTCCACCGCACTCCCCGCCTGTGTCCCCACGTCCCCCCCACCCCCCCCGGCCTCCACCAGGGCCAGGGCCACACAGGGGAGGACAGGGGGCGCTCCCCTCGGGCACCAAGCCTCAGGAGGTGTCCAAACACTCAGACGTCAGAAAAATATTTCAATGCCATTTTTAAAAGTCAAAATTAACGCAAATACCCTGGCTGGCATAGCTCAGTGGATTGAGCACGGGCTGCAAACCAAAGCATCGCAGGTTCGATTCCCAGTCAGGGCACATGACTGGGTTGCAGGCCACGGCCCCCAGCAACCACACATTGATGTTTCTCTCTCTCTCTTTCTCCCTCCCTTCCCTCTCTAAAAATAAATAAATAAAGTCTTTTAAAAAATTAACGCAAAAAATATCCATGATGAACAAACTACCAGGAGTTTAAATGAAGGCAGGACCTGACCCTGCCCCGCCCTCATCTTGGCCCTTCACTTACAGACAAGCAGCTACACCAACGCCACTGTGTGCTGATTTGAATTTTTTAAATATGGCATCAAAACATCACTTCTCTTGGGAGTGTCAGCGCCCCAGGGAAGGGCCTCCCTCGCCTCACCCCCGCCCCCATGGCCCTGCCCCCGCCCCGCCTGGGCTCCACAGGCCCCGCGCTAGGTTCTGCGTGGGCCCCTCCGTCTCGGTGCACACTCACAGAACGGCCAGAGGGATCGGAGGACCCTTCCAAAACCACAAGTCAGACCACGCCCGCCCTCTGCTAGGAGCCGTCCTTGGCTTTTGGCGGCTCTGAGAACAAACCCCAAACCCGGCCCGGCTCACCCGCCCTCAGACCTCACCGTCCAGCCTCCCCTCCTGACTCACCCAGCCACAGCCCGCGGGCTGCCCCGACTGCACCTGCGGGCATGTGGGGGGGAGGGGAGGGAGGCGGGCACTGCTCTCTGTTGCTTTGTCCATTTGGAACACTCTTCCCCTGGGCCCTGGTGGGCTTGCATCGTTCTGTCATTCAGGTCTCAGTTTAAATGCCACCTCCTCCAAGAGGCCCTCTCTGACTCCCTCCCTATGCTGGCCTCACCTATGTATCTATTAGATCTGATCTACTTTCCTGATAATGCACACGGCTCTCTTCTCTTTCCTTTTGTTTTTCCGGGGTCTTTCCTGTCTCTCTCTAGATTGAAGCTACGTGAGGGTACGTGGCATGGTTTGGGCACCACTATATTCTCAGTGCCCAGCACAGGGCCTGGCACATAGTAGGTGCTCAATGATTATTTGCAGATGGACACACAGAGGAATGGGTGAACTAATGAACAAACTGACATCTCAAGGCTACGTTCTTTCAGCTACTAAGAGCCCCGACCTACAGCCCCACCAGCTTATCTCCTGGGATTTATCTGTCTGGGCCCAGGCGCCAAGCTTGCTCCCCCTTCCCCAGAGCTTAGATGGCCTCGGCGCCCTGGGAGGACCAGGGGCGGCCATTGCTCCAGATAAAGGAGTGACGTTGGCCAGGACCCCAGGGACAGATGACCGAGCAAGGTTGCCACTCCTGGGCCCGTCGGGACTGGCAGTGTCATTTTCAGAAAGTCATGCCATCTTTCTGAGCCTGAGGGGGCCCTTCCCTGTGAAATATGTCTGGAAACAGCTACATAGAGGGTTCTCATAAACATCAGAACAGGAGAGGGAGGGCAGAGCAGTGGGCAGCACGGGAGGTGCCTGACGACCGGGGGGCGTGGGGGCTGCGGAATGTGTGCCCCCCACACCCCGCCCACATCACAGCCGACTGCTGCTCTGGGCGATTGGGTCCAACCCCCCCGCAAAGGGTCCAGCCCACCGAGTCCCTCTGGCTCAGCTACTTGGGCATATTCCGGCCTATCTTCTGGGCTGGAGCCATGCCATGGACAGATGAGATCATCGCTATTTGTTAGCTCGAAATAATGGAATTTTCCATTCGCTTGACCCAATGAGCGCCTCTGCCCGCATGTTTTTGGTGAGAAAGCTGACTCCTAAGGCAACAGAAAGGCCCCGCCAACTCCATCGGGAAGAAGCTGAGGAGCTGGATGTGGAGCCAGGCCCCCCCGCACCGGCTCCCGCTGTGGGTACAGCCCGGAAATGCCGGCCCTCCCGGGAGGAGGCGAGCTCAGCAGCACCTGCCCCACTCACCTGCAGGCTGAGGCCCCGGGAGGAGAAGGCGGGGGTGCAGCAGGCCAGGGTCGGGCACCAGAACGGGGCTTTGCTCTTCTTGTCCTCGTCCGGACAGCGCCAGCCCGGCTGGTTCTCCTCTCCTGCAGCAGAAGGACGGAGCTGGGTGGAGCGGGTCAGAGTCGGCGGCCCAGGGGGAAAAGTGAGCAGCCCGGGGGACCCGGCAGGCCCCAGGGGCCCGGACTGCACGGCGGCCGAGCCACACCCACCCCAGCCCTACTCTGGCCCATCTGAGACGAAATCCAGCCCTGCCCCGTGGTCGTGGCCCTGGGTCCCCAGCAGAGAGCGAGGACACCTTAGGTCTGAGTCCCAGCCTGACCAGCCTTTTGCTTAGCGACCTTGTGCAAATCACCCCAACTCCCCGAGCCTCGATTTCTTCACCTGTGAAACAGGGACAATAAAAACACCTTCGTCCCCGGGTTGTTGTGAGCATCCAACGAAATGAGAGGGGGGAGGGGGTGTCAAGGGGCCTTGAGAGGCTGAACTCTGCCCAGGCCCAGCTGCCTTGCCCTGACCTTCTCGAGACAGGAGAAGGTCATAAGCCAGCCAAGGTGAGAGACAATTCTGGATTGTGAAGATGCAAGTTCAGGCTGCCTGATGGTGATGGTGATGGTGCTGGTGAAGGGGAAGGCTCCTTCTCCTGCTTCCTTTGCAGCCACCCTGAAACCTCCAGGTTCCCCTGTCCAACTGGGTACAGGAGCCCCCAGGGACCGGTCACAAGCACAGACACCCAGGCCTGAGCCCAGGCCCTGGTCTCACACTCGGAGACCTCTGATCACCTGCTAAACCGCCTTCTCTGCAGCAGCCCCTTCATGTGGGTCAGGGCTCCCGCCTCCAGGAAGTCCTCCCTGACCACCCTGGCTGCAGCGGCCCTCTTCTCTCAGGGGGCAAGGCCTTGACCCTGTTTCGTTTCTCCCACAGCCTTCACCACTATCTACAACCATTGTGCCTGCGTTCCTGTTTATAACCCATCTCCATGTGTCTCTGGAATGCCGGTTCAAGGCAGAAGGATCTGGGGTATCTCATTCACCGCTGTCTCCCTGGCACCCAGCACACTACCTGCGTGGAGTTAGTGCTCGACGAACACGGGTTAAAAGAAGGAATGGAAGGAGTGAGCGAGTGGGCGGGTGAGCAGACCTCTGTCTCTTCCAAAGAGTTCTCCCCGCTGAGGAGCCGCCCTTACGCTCCACATGACAACGACCGCCTTCCCGGGAGCTGGACAGCAGGGACGAGGGGCAGCTAAAGCGCACCTACTGTGTGTCCACACATCAGGGCTCACACTGGGTGCAACACATGTCCCCTGGCTTCTCTTTCCCAGTAACCGAGCACAGTCAGACGACGATTTTCACTTTATGGGTGACAAGGCAGGCGTCATGCTAGACGGCCAAGCCCGCCTGGGCGCCAACGGTCTATCCGAAACTCAGAGCCTGGGCTCTCTGTACTAAACTCTCTGGCAGTCTCCCAGGCCCGCCCCCTACTGACAGCCACGGGCATGGCTGACTCCGGCCGTGGTGACGCTGGACAACGAGCAGGCAAAAGCCAGAGACGCTGGGGCACCTCAAGCGACAGCGTCCGCTTAACGTCTGGTGTGAGTTACACACGACGACTACGGCCTCACAGTCCAGTGCCTACAGGCATCGTGCACTTGACATTGGCCGGGAGGGCAGATGTTGCGTTCACGGTTCCCATCAGGAAAAAATGACAGACAGGCAGGCAGGAGGGCCTCTGTGGAGGGGAGGGGCTCGTTACGGCCTAGACGGTGGTGCTGGGTTCGCACGAACCCCCACACTCAGGGAGCTGCATGCATTCAGTATGCACAGCTTTGGTATGTCAACCATGCCTCAATAAGGTGGATTTTTTTTTAACAATGCCATTGCTACCAGAGAAAAGTGGCACCTGAGTGTCAGTCGCAGCAGGAGGAGCTGGAATGAGGTAGCGGGTGTGGACGCTCTTTGGGAAGTTAAAGACCTTTGCACATGTCGGCCGTCACTGCTTGGGCACCTCGAGACAGCAGAGGCTCCAGTGCGTGTCCCCGGCCGGCACTCTTGCCCGGGGTGCCCTCTCCCACCAGCAGCAGGGTCTCTGGGCGGTGAGCTCGTTCCCTAAACCGACCCTCTGCCCCTCTGTGCCCAGCAGACAAAGTCGCATCCAACCTGGTGCCTTCCACGGAGAAGGAGAGGCCGTCGGGGAAAGGGCAAGGACAACGATGCCACACTTCGCGGCTCACAAAGCTGCCTCACATGCCGTCTCCTTTAACAATGGTGGCCACCCGGGTTCGGTGTCTCCACCCCGCTCTCCCCTGAGCAAACAGAGGCCTGTGGAAGTCAAAGGCAGGGCACAGGGGCCTAGGAACTGAGCCACGGGAGTGCTCCACACAGCTCTCGCCATGCAGAGTGACCTCGGAGATGGCCCACCCACCCGTGGGCAGCCCCCACCCCCTCTGCAGGACTAAAGAGGGGCGAGCTGTGAGTGCGTCCCTGCCCTCAAGGAGCTCACAGTCCCACAGCCCCTCAGCCCCTCACCTCTGCCAGGCAGGGGCCCCGCAGAGCACCCAGACCCCACCCCTTGCCAGGTGGCCTCTGGAGCTCCCTCCGTGAACATAAGTCCCTCCCCCCGGTCACCACGTCACGCTGAGCTCCACCCCTCCCCCCTTCCCCGCAGCCCTCTGACTCCTGGCAATTTATTAGTGCATATTTCTGCAACGATCTGACCTTCTCCTTCCAGATGGTGCCTTCCCCGCCTGCGCCTGGGAGCGTTAAAAGGAAATGGGGTTGGGGCGGCCCATCTGCCACTGCCATCGTCCCCGCCACAGAGCCAGAGCGGCTGGGACCGAATCAGAGGGCTGCTGCTGCTGCTGCTGCTGGAAACTGAGGGCCCGCTTGGGACGAGCGACATTAAGGGCTGGCACCGGCGGCAGAGCTGCGGTTTCCAAGTGACGTTAAGTGGGGGCTTATTTAGCACCCGGCTCGGCAGCACCCGCTGAACACAAGGGTGCCTGTCCGTGGGGCGGCAGGGGCAGCTCAGGGCTGGGCGCCCCCGCCCCTCCGGCTCCTCCACCTCCGAGCCCACAGAACAGCCCCGCAGGCTGCAGGAGGCTGGCCCTGACCCAGGGGCCCTGGCAGATCCCGGCCCGGCCTGGCCCCCGGCTCAGCGTGGCGCTGAGCTGGGCACTTCTCCCCCCACCCCCCACCCCTGCCCCCTGCCCTGAGACTGCTGCCTCATCTGGAAAATTCAGGAACCATTCCAACCACTCAGAGCTGTCCTGAGCGCCGGAAAGAACAGAGCAGAGAGTACACCTGGCCTGGGCGGGGCACCCAGGAAAAGTGCCTGCTATTGGCCACTGTCCTGGAGGGTAAGGGCACTGCCTGCGCTACCCAGGAGTACCAGGTGATGCCCACAGGGCTGCCCCACTAAGCACCGCTGGCCCGCCCTGCTGCTCCAGCCCCGACCGGAGTCCTGTGCGCCTCCTGCGTTCAACGGCAGCGTCCTGCCTCCTGTTGCTCTGCCCCGTGGACAGCCGACCGCCCTCCTCTACCTCCCCTGCCCCCGTCCCGGCTCAGACGTCAGGGCTGGCGGGGCCACAGCACGGCCTTCCCCAAACACCCTCCCCCGCAGGCAGACGCTGGAGGCTGGGGAAGCGGCCCCAGCCGGCCCACAGGGGTAACACCAAAGTCTGGCCCTATTGCCCCCTCTACTCCCGCCCAGAGGGCAGATCTACTGCTTCCGGCCCAGGGCTTGGCCAGGTCCCAAGCTCAGGGTGGTCAAGGGTCCGAGGACAGGAGGGGGAGAGTGCGCACCTGGGCTGGGCTTAGACCTCCATACCTGGACCACGGCCAGGAGGGGCAATGGCATCGAGGTGAGGGCTGGGGGCTGGAAAAGCAGCCAAGTCAGAGGCAGCAACGGAGGCTGCACCCGTGAGAACCCACCCCTGGGAGCGTGGGATCGGCCCACACAGCCCGCCCTGCCCAGGGGGTGAGGCACAAGAGGCCGTGGTGGGAGAGCAGCCAGGGGCCCGGCAGCCGGGGACACTGAGAGCTGAGGATGGGGGAGACACAGGAAGGAACATCAGAAGCCCCTTCCTTCTCCAACGCCTCCCACCTGCAGCCCTTCTCCGGAGTGACGCAAACGGGAGGGTGATCGGCAGAAAGGTGGGAGGGTTTCCTGGCCCGGCTCTGCACAAAATCACTCGCGACCTCAGGCCGTGCGATGCAGCACTCCTGTGCTAGGAGCTCCTCCCGTGGGCCAGCTGCTGGCCGTCCCAGACGCCCGCCGACACGCACCATCTCCCCGCACGCCCACTGGAGACCTGTGGTGGGGGCACTGGCATGGTCCCCACTCTCTGACGGTGAACCCCAGGCATCTAGGAGCTGCGTCACGTGCCCGAGATCACGGAGCTGGTCAGGCGAGCGGCAGAGCTGGGAACCGAACCCAGGATCCCCAAAACACAGCAAGGAAAGGGCTCTGGGAAGCCTGCCTTCCCCAGAACCACACGGCACAGCGGTGGCCACGACAGGAGGTGAACCGGGTCCCCAGACTCGCCAGATCCCGTCCTTCCAAGGGGCAGAACCGACGCCCCCTCCCGGGTCCCAGCCCTCTCCTCTCTGTCTTCAGTGGGTTATGATCAGCATTGCAGTCAGGGAGAGAGTAAGACACAGAAAAACAAATTAGAGGAATAATGTCCTTTGTGAATAATTTTTTAAAATATATTCTAATGGGCTCCCGTGATTTTTCCCTCCCCACCAGGCACAGAAGATAAAAAAAAACAAAACTGGCAAAATAGAAGGGACAAATTATTCAAGCCCCGGGGGACCCAGGCATTCAAAGAAGATTTCAAATGACTGTCATTCCATTAAAACTTTCTGCTGCAGTGAGAACTTTTTGCTGTGCAGACAAAGGGCGGCTGAGCTCCGCAGGCAGCCGAGAACCGAGGTGCTCACCTCAGCCGGCGCCTCTCCCTCCGACATCAGGCTCCACTCAGCAAAGCACCTGGGGTTCCAACAGGAGACCCACCTGCCTTTAGAGCAGGTGGACAGTCAGGGCTGAGGCATCTTCCCGAGATGCGACTGCTGTGCAAGTGACCGCTGCGTGAGCGGGAGCGGAGCGCGGGCCTGCGGCCCGGCAGGTGGGGAGCTGACCCAGCCTTTCCTCGGGCCGGAATTCCCAGAGTCCTCTGCCACAGCCTCTGCTTCACATCCTTCCTCCACCCTCCTGGTCGCCGCGAAACATCCGGCAGAGGCCTGGCAACATCAGCTCCAGATCCAAGAAGGGACTGGAGGAGCAGAAGCCTCCTCCCCAGTCCCCCTCTGACCTCCACGCGCCCTCTGTGCACAGCGCCAGGATGATTCGCTGGAACAGAAGCCAGGCCACACCCCTCTCCAGCTCTCGGAGCTGCCACGAACAGCTCCCGTCACATCCCGAGTGAGCTCCGTACACCTCGCCCTGGCTTTCTAGAAAACCTGCCCCTCTCCTCCACCCACCCAATTTGCCGGCTCTGGTCACCTCAGGACCTTTGCACCTGCCGTTTTCAAGCCTGGGTCATTTTTCCCAACATTGTGCATGGCTTCAGATGTCACCGCCTCAGATGCCCTCCGTGATAGCACACCCGACCCCCACGCTTGGTGCCAGTCATGTCACCCAGCGCCATACCCCTGGCAGCGCACCCCTCCCTGCAGATCTGCTCCATGTAAAGTCTGCCTGCCCCCCACTAAGTTGTGCGTTCCTTGAGACCAGGGACCTTTCTGCCTCTGCCACTGCCCTTTTCCCGTAGCCTGAAATTACTGCAGAGACTCAATAAACAGTTTCTTAATTGATGAGAGCCATTGATGAAAGTCCCAACTTCTTTCCGGAAATGTCTCAGAACCTATTGGAAACATACACTTATCTATAACAAGATCACAGCGGAAACAAGAATGAAAAAGAAATCACTGCTGTTGGCTGGAATCCGCAAATGAGAAGCCCAGCCCCTCACAGGGAATGACAGCTCTGGGCGGCGAGGCCCCGGGCCTGCTGTCAATTCCCAAAAAGCACAGATGAAATGACAGCTTAGTGGACGTGGTCTGACCGGCCGACACTCGCCAACCTGAGGAGGCAGAATGGACAGGGACTGAGAGCGGGCCACACACAGACACGGGCAGCAACTGCCCAGCGCCCACCTGGCCTGCTGTGCAAGCTCAGGCGAGTCACCGCGCCTCTCGGGGCCTCGGGACCCTCGACTGTGAACAGGGGTTCACGACAGCCCTCCCTCGGAGGGCCGCTGTGAACGGGAAGTGAAGGAAGTGTGTAAAGTGCTTAGAAAAACGCGTGTGCAAGGAAGCGCTCTGTGAATACAGATATCCATCATTACCTCTGTTATTAGGCGGTGCCTGGGAGGGGAAAAAAAAAACTAAAGAGATTCTTGGCTGAAAATCAGTGTCTCCTAACCAGCATCGTTTTTTGGTAGCAGCTTTGCTGAACTATATAATTCAGCTATCATAGAAGCTATGTTTTAAAAGTGATACTTCACTGGTTTCTAGTACAGGAAGAGTTGGGTAACCATCATTCCAAAATTAAGAGCCTTTTTACCACTCCCACAAAAAAAAACAAAACTCCCTTAGCAGTTTCTCTCCATTTCCTGTCCCCCCACCCCCAGGTCCCTGGCGACCACTGATGCACCTTGTGTCGACCCCCACAGTTTTACAGATGGGGAGGCTGAGGCTTGGAGAGGGGAAGCCACTTGTCCAAGGTCACTAGCAGGGTCTCAGGACTCAGGACCCTTGCTCCAGCTGTTTCTCCACCACCTCCCCCCAACTCGGGAGCCTCCTCCCCCACGAGCCTGGATGCCCCCCACGCACACCCAGATACACACCCCACAACTCCCCTCCTCCGGGCCTGCCTCCTGAGGTGCTCTCTCGGGGGCTTTACTCACGGAGTCCAATCTTGGCCAAGTGCAACCTGTTGACCCAGGAGATCTTGCTCAGGGGGTTGGGGGTGATGAAGACCACCATGAAGCTGATGGGGCGGCCGGACCTGGGGTGAGAAGGCGAGTGAGTGCTCGGAACAAGGGTCTGGCTCCCCCTGCACAAGCACCCGGCTCTCCCCTCACCCCACGTGCCCCGGAGAAGAGTGAGGTCCGCACAGAGCACCAAGTGTGGCCAGAGAGGCCCGTGGCCCGCCCAGCAACGCCTCAGTCCCCTGGGGGAGGAGCCCCTCCACTCACCACGGCCCCCAGAGGAAGGCACCTCCCCCAGAGTGGCCAGGCCACACTCCAGCCCAGCCCCAGGGGCCTCAGCCCGGGTGCCCAGCAGAGCCAGAGGTGTCTGGCCGTCTGTGGGCAGTGACTCGAGAGGCCCTGCCAGGGCTCCACGTGGCCAGCTTCCCACGGGCCTTGTCAGGCACCTGTGCGCGTCTGACCGGGAGCCTCCACAAGGAGGGACCAGTCTCCCTCGGGCCTGTGACCGGCACCTGGCACCGCGCGGTTGCTTGGCAAATGTTGGCCAGAGGGACACATGAATGAGCGAAGAAATGGATGAGTGAGGTTGTGCACAGGCTTGGGGCAGCCAGAGGTCACTGCTGTCCCCACACTGTCCTCTCACGGTGGAGCATCGGGGGCCCCTCAGTGTTCCATGGGGCCTACTCCCCGCCACGGGCCATGCCAGCCCCCAGGAGGCGAGCTGGACCAGTGTCACTGACCCTCTGCAGTGCAGGGGGAGGAAGGGGCGCAGAGGAGGGAAGGGAGGCCACTCAGCAGGGCGGTGACAGAGACCTGGTTAGGGCTCCAAGGTGCTGCCTCCCGCCCCCAGTCCTGAGCCTGGCCTCCTGGGCTCACGGCCCTGCCTCAAACTGTCGCGCTCCAACCTTCCCTTCCCTGTAGCCATTTGGTTTATAACTCGGCCCCCCACCCAGAAGGTCAAAACCTGACCTCCAAGCCCCTCACTGCGCCATCCTAAGCTTCACAGTCAGACAGACCCCGGGGAACCCAGCTCTGCCTCTTCCTATGTGGCCTTGGACCTGGCCTGTAACTCTCTGAGCCTCACCTTCCTCATCTGTAAAATGGGGCAATAACACCCACCTCACTGAGCTGTGGAAGGACAGATACCTTTCCCCGCCTCTGCCAGGCTGCCATCGGCTCCACCGACGGCAGCGGAGGGTCTACAGACCACAAGCTGCTGTGGGGGCGTTAGGGAATGGGGCGGTGCTGCGGGGGGCAGGAGGGTCCGTGAAAGGAGACCCAGGGCCTGGTCCCAGGGGACGGCACTGTCCAGTGTAAATGAAAAGGACACGGCACAAATGGAACCAGCCAACAGCAGAGTGTCCGAGTGCCCTAGCAGGGGATGGGCTTGTCCTGGGCAGGAAAGGGGGCTCCTCTATTCGTTCATTCGCTTGCTCGCTCATTCACTCGCTCATTCACTCACTCATTCATTCACTCACTCATTTATTCATTCATTCACTCACTCATGCACTCATTCATTCATTCACTCATTTATTCATTCATTCACTCACTCATTCAATCATTCATTCACTCACTCATGTACTCACTCATTCACTCATTTATTCATTTATTCATTCACTCACTCCCTCATTCACTCACTCATTTATTCATTCACTCACTCATTTAATCACTCCCTCATTCATTTACTCATTCACTCCTTCCCTCCCTCCCTCCCTCACTCACTCACTCACTTTCACTCACTCTTTCATTCACTCAACTGTGAGCCCCTGCTCTGTGCCCAACGCTGTGCGGGGCACGGCCCACAGTGAGCACACACCCACCCCCATCACAGTGACACTGACAAACAGGGGGACTCCAGGAGCCCCCTCTGAGCGCCCCCACTTCTCCGCGGGCCCCTCCGCCCTCACTTGTCGGGTTTCCCGGGAAGCAGGAGCCTGAGGCGGCACTTGTTGGCCGAGTGGATCTCCTCCTCCTTCACCCGCATGAGCCTCTGCAGGGCCAGGCACCAGTCTTGAGCCACCGTCATGTTCAGGTTCTAGGGTTAAGAAGGTCAGTGAAGTCACCACACAGCCCACCAGCTCCCCAAAAGCCACCACAGGTCCTACGGCCATCGGGGTACCCCAGGGAGAGAAACTGGGGACGAGTCACAGCCAGGAAGCTCGTTCGGTCCGTCGCAGCAGGGCCCAGCTCCCCCGGGCTCTGGGCTGCAGTGGGCCGCCCAGCCCTTGGTCAGACCCCACTCGGCACCCCTGCTCTGAGAGGGACACCCCCTCCTAGCCAGCGTCCTCTGCAGCCTGAGGCAACGCCAGGAAGGGGCTGCAAGGCTGACTGTGCAAAAAACAACAACAAAAAATGCCCGGCACCGGGGCCCCTCCATGGGAACCAGAGCTTCAGCCTGAACCAGGGGCCATGGCCCAGACTTCTAAGCAGCGACAGGGGGCGTAACCACTCCTGCTGCCTGTGGAAATGCAAAGCCAACGCCACACCAGGGGCCAGGCCAGGAGAACAGCCCCCAGCTCTGCCTGCCGAGTCTGGGCACTGCCCGCAGGGAGGGGCCTGGAGCCCCCGAGGGCGGGCCAGCGCCGCCTACCTGGTAGGTGCCGTGCAGCGTGCTGATGAGGAGGGTGATCTGCTCCACCACGGCCAGGTCCTTCTGCAGGTCCTGCAGCTCCTGGAAGAGTCGCGGGGGACCGAAGTACACCTTATCTGGGCAGAGGGGGACCCAAGTCAGCCTCGGGAGTGGGAAGTCGGCAGTGAGAACCCGAGCACCCACTCACTGCCGGACAGGAGAGCTGTCGCCCTGGGGATGCGGCACCAGAGACGCAGGAAGAAACGTGACCAGGCTCGTATGTCTACTGGGGGACACGGGTCCAGTCACAGGTAGCGCCCAGCACCTGCGACCCAGGACACATGGTCAGTCTGTACCAAGGGCCACAGGAGACCGGAAGACTGAGGACCAGCTGCCCCTGCCAGACACGGGGGGCCTTCACAGGGCCAGGAGCGCGGTGGGCGCCGCCGAGGAGTAGAACAGCACGTGCAAAGGCACTGTGGCCCGAGGAAGCCCGTGAACAGCAAGTCGTTGGAGAACATCCTGGGGACCTGCTAGGTGCCAGGTTCTATCCCAGGTGTTAGAGCCATGGCTGTGAACAAGACAGGCAGGGTCCCCACGCTGACAGAGCTCGAGACCTGGGGGCAGGGGAGCAGTCCGCCACAACCCCAGACGGTGGCGGGTGCTGAGGGGAGGAACCATATCAGAGTGACCCGACAGCGGTGGGGGTGAGGAAGCCCAGAGGTCTGCTGAGGACCCGGATGGAGTGTCGGGGCTGTAGGCAGCGGGCAGCGGGCAGCAGGAGGCTGGGCAGGAGTGGCCGGCAGGCCTGCAGGGGGAAGTCCTTGAGCGCCACGCCGGGGGTTTGGGCCGTCTTCTCCAGGTCACGGTTTCTCAAGCTGAGATCTTACAGGACCCCGGGGAGGGGAATTGTTTGGGGTTGCCGTTGAGACCATTTAAGAAAGCAGATGCACACCTCGAGTCACCCGGATACAGTGACTTCAAAGCCACGTTGCGTGGCACAGGGCCGGGGCTTCCGTGGACTTCGGTCCCGAGCAGGCGACGTGGTGGCCCCCAGTAGGGAGCAAGGAGCAAAGTGGACAGGGGGAGTGAGCGAAGCTCGTGCCAGAAACAGGACGAGACCGGCTCTGCGGGGACCCCGACACGTGAGCTGGTGGGAAACGCGGGCCACCGTACGCGGTGCCCTGGGCCGTGGGTGTGGAGGGCTCCGGAGAGCCCGCCCCCCGGAGGCCGCTCCCGCGTGGTGAGCCGTTTGGTCCCCGCAAAACAACGTCGCCCATCGCGAGAAATTAATGCCGTTCATTTGAATTTTATCATTTTGTAGCTTCGTTTTTATCCCATTTGTGATTTTTGGTTTTGGTTTTTATGGTTGTTCAAGGGGTATGAGCATAAGGCGTCTATTATACCTCGCCTTATACTTGTACACATTTGAATAACAATATAATAAAAAAATCATTCACAGCCAACTGGAGTTCAAAAAGAATCTCTATCTTCCCCTTTACAGGGGGTCCTGAAATGACTCTCATTTCGGGAATGCGGCCACAGACAAACTGTCACTGATGGAGGGTCCCCGAGGGAGGGTCCCAGGGTGAGGGCAGAGTGCGGAGGGGGGGGGGGGCGTGGAGGAGAGCCTGGGCGGGAGGCAGAGCCAAGGTCCCCACCCGCCCCGCCCCCCGACCAGTGAGGCTTCTGGGGACCGGCAGCCCTTGGAGCCGCACAGACCTGGGGAGAAGATGCCGCATCCGGATGTGGGCGCAGCTGTCTGGCCCGGCCCCCCAAGGGCAAGGGTGATGCAATCACCCTCCATTTCCAGAACTGCCAACAGCCCCATGAGGCAACCTCCAGGGTCAGGTGACAACCAGAGCCCCCCCCCCCCCCGCCCCATTCAGAGACTGAGAGCAGCCGGGCGCTGGGGAGAGGTAGTGCGGCCGAGCCCCTCCCAGCCAGCCGACCACTCTTCTCTGCCGGCCCTGCACCTGGACGCCCTTCATTCATTCAACAAACATCATCCGCACCGCCTCAAACCGGCCTCGGGCAGGGCCGCAGTCACACCCGCCGCTGAGGGGCAAACGTGGCCTTGAGAGCACCGGTGGGGGTGGGGAGGGGTGGGGCCTGGTCCAGAATTGGAAAAGGCTTCCACGGGAAGGGGCCCCTGAACCAGGATGAGCAAGGGCGAGTGGACAAAAACAAGGCGGCAGGAGCTTGCTCAGCGGGGAAAAGGGCAAAGGCAGGAGAAGGCCCTGGGGCAGGAGGGGGCTCCCGGACCCAGGAACCCCGAGGCCGGTGTGGCCATGCCCGGGGGTCAAAGGGGCAGAGTGGGCTGAGGAAGGGCCATGGGCGCCTCCAGGAGGGACACATGGCCTGAGTTAGGACCGGGAACCGGGAACTCACCCTGAGACCCGGGGAGGCCGCTGGGACACACACAGACCCGACCGGCATTTCGCAGAGTCGGCTCTGGGGACGGGTACAGGATGGGCAGCAAAGGGACAAGGATGGAGGGCAGGACAGCAGCCGGACCGCCGCCGACCACGCTGACCTCAGCCATCGTGCAGAGGGAGAGAAGTCCCCGACAGAGAGAGAGGCCACCGAGCGTCACGCCCGAGGGGTCATTCTGCTCGTGTCCCAAAGAGTCTGAGGGGATGGCCGGGACAGGGGAAGGCGGAGCCAGGCAGGGCCAGGCAGCCCTGAGCCTGGTCCCTGAGGGGCGGGGGGAGGGTGAGCGTCACGGGGACCCTCACTGTCCGGAGGGGCAGACTGAAGCACAGAGAGGAGGCGACACCTGCACACGTGCCCCAGGGAGGCGGCAATGGCGGGGCAGGGACTAGAAGTCACACTTTCTGGCCCCAAGGTCACCGCCTGTACGTGCACAAGTGGGGGCACAAGGGCACGTGGGGCTGGGGTGGGCAGGGGCGTGGCTGCAGGAAGTGCCTGTGCACCCGTGGGTGAGAGTTCACACACAGCATGGGGCTGCCAACCAGCAAGAGCCCCTGGACCAAGCCGCCCCCTGGCCCAGGGGCCCCAGACGGGCACTGGAGCCCGGGCGGATGCTCCCCGGGCAGCAGCTGGGCAGGTACTCACTCTGGGCCTGGCCCGAGGCAGAGGCCTTCTTGGCGCCAGCGTGCTGGATGAGCACGTTGTCCTTGTCGTAGGAGCCGCCCTCCTGGCCGGCCTCCACCACCTGCACCTGCGGCAGCGCCGTGTTCCACTTCACCACGTACTTGGGCCCCAGGGGCACCAGGCTGCTGATCTCCAGCTGGCCCCTGCCAGCACAGACAGAGCGAGGCCCGTGAGGCGGCGGCACCCGGCCCCGGGACCGACCCCGAGCGCGCCCCCCAGCACACCAGCTCGGCCAGGAGCCTCACAGCCCAAGCACCGCAGCTCAGGCCAAAGCCAAGCCAGGCGGCACGGGGAGCTGTCGGCGAGGCAGAAGCACCAGGCACCCGGGGCCCAGCCCCAGCCCATGCCCCATCACATGCCCCCCGAGCCCCTACCTGTGGGTGGCAGGCCTGAGGAAAAAGACAAGAAGGAGGGAAAGGCCCGTCACTGTTACTGAGTCGTTTCTACGGGGAGGAGACTGCTGGGGGCTGGCCACCGGGAGGGGCCGGGGTGGGCGGAGAGGCCCACACCGAGGGCCTGCTTCCTGGGCTGGGCACGGGCTTTCTGTCACCTGTCCCCACAAGGGCTCTGCTGGGAGGCTTGTGTCTTGTGCTATTCTGGACGAGGACACTGCTGCTCAGACAGGTCACACGACTCACCCCCAAATACCCACACGGACCCCCAAAGTGGGCCGGCGGCATCCCCATCCCGCTCCCACGTCATGCCGGGCAGGCAGAGAGGGTGTGGGTCCACGTGGTGCCCAGGACACTAATGGGACCTAAAAATCACCCTGTGGGAGGGAGGCCCCAGCAGGGCTGTCCAGGTCTTGTCCAGACCCGTGAACGGGCACAAAGTAGGGGCCCAATAAATATTTGACGGACTAACAGTGTCCCAGTCCCCAAACAGCCCTGCCTGTCCCCCTTCTGGGGCCCAGGACCCACAACCACAGATGATCCCCAGCTCTGCACCGCGCCCCGGTCCTGGGGGCGGGCAGGAACGCTCAGCCCACTCCGGGTGTGGGGACCACACCGGGCTCGCAGGTGCCCTGACCCCACACGTGCTCCAGGCCGGGGCGGGAGTCGGGCTGGGATGGGCGTTCGCCCGCGGGTGACTGCTTTCCCTCCCAGACCTGGGTCGCGGTGGCCATGCTGCTGCTTCGTTGGGTTTTTTAAAAGTGCCGCTAGAGACCGAGGCTGAGATCTCCCCGCACAGGTGGGCAGAAGCCCGGCTGGGAAGGGCCCACGGCCAAGCAAGGGATGCGGGCAAGTGTGCCCGCCGATGGGGACGGTGGAGAACAGCGCGGCGCGAGCCCCGTTAGAGGGGACGTGTGACCCAGCTCCAGGCCTCGGCGGCCCCGGGCCGTGGGGGCTCCTCACATCTTCCAGCAAAGTCAATGTCTCTGTCTTCGCGTGAACTCTCCGTGTGAGTGGAACGGAGGATTCCTGGAGGCCGGGTGCGGCTCTGGTCTGCAGAATCCCCTCCACCCCATGCAGGGCTCCCGCTGTCTCGGGCACAGCCTGGCGGCCCGGCAGCCCGGCTCTGGGCATTCCTACGACCCCCTGCCAGAACCCGGCTCCCGCGGAGGAAGACGCCCTGGGCCATGGGGAGAGAGGTAAGGGCCCTGCTGGGAGACGCGGAGACGCAGCCTGAGGGAGGCTGTGTGAACTGCAGCAGCTGCGATTCCGGCGGGACGCGAGGAACCACCTCTTGCATTTCAAAGCGGTTAAAAGTCAGGAGACTCCCGAGTCCCCGGACAGACCGCACTGCACAGAGGACAGCTGTTTGCCCGGGGCTGGCGGTGGCCGCCAGGGACCTCTCCAGGTGTTTCCGAGCTCTGGGGACCTGGGCCAGAGCAGGCCGGGAGGGACGGGAGAGAAAGCCGGTACATCACACAGACGGAGTTCATTGAGACCCCGGCCCAGAGAGGCCAGGCCAGGGACTGGGGACAGGACAGAAAAGGGTCCCCGAGGAGGGGTGACGGCCCAGGCCCACTCACTTGAAGTTGATGTTGGCACACACCAGCATGTCATTGAGCAGGAAGACCCTGCGCTCCTTGGACTTGATCAGCTGCCCGCGGTCGCCGTAGACGGTCTCCGTCAGCGTCTCACAGAGGAGCAGCTGCCTCTGGCCCGAGGTCAACAGCTGGGGGAGGGACACAGAGCAAGGTCAAGGTCAACACCAAGGAGCCCGCAGGCTGTCACCCAGACATCCGCGTGCCAAAGGCCCAGAATTCTGCAGCTACAGGGAGACCGAGGCTGGCAGAGGTGGGATAAGGCAGGGCCACGGCCTCCACCCCTGGGGAGACGGAGGCACTGGGAGGGCCACACACACGCTGGGTCCCCTGACCGCCCGCCCTGCCCAGCAGCCAGCGCCTACCCTTCTCAGGCGAGCCGGTCACTGGCAGCCCATCCCTACGGCAAGCCTGCGTGACCAGCCCTGCCAGGGACTCAGGCTCCCGAGTCACAGACGTGCCCCCGCCCCGGCTCCCCGAGCACCAGCTGTGACGCCGTCTGGCAGGTCTCCACACTTCACCAGACAAGTGGGGCGACGACGTCCACAGCTCAGGGCACCAGGGTCATTGATGCAGGGGCAGACCTGGCCCCGTAACTCGCCACCCCCCGGGGCAAGGTGAAACTCGGCCCTCGGTCAAAAGTTGTTACAAATTGCAAGACAGCGACAGCAGAGCTTTCGACCCAGGGTGGGGCCCTCTGAGCGCGGGTCCTGTGCGGCAGAGCAGCTGGCCCAGCCCAGGAGCTGACCCAGCATGTGGCACACGGGGGCCACCGCGCAGACCACAGCTGTCCCCGCTCTTGCTGCCCGAGACAGAGCTCACCGTGAGGAAGTGCGGCCTCACGCCGGTTGACGCCTGGCCTGGAAGGCGGACCCGTCCCTGTGCCCTGAGCTGCCGAACTGCCTCAGCAGGTCTCACCCCTCGGAAGGGCTCCCGGCGGGGTCGGGCAGACCCGCTGGTCAGCGAGGAAACCCTCGGAGGCAGCCAAGGCCCTCCAAGCTAGACACCAAGGACCCCCTTCCAGCACAGGGATGGCCCCCCAACCCGGGGCCCCTCTGGGGAAACACCTTTTTACTAGCGGGGATGTTTAGGGGTGGGGGATGGCTGTCAGCAAAATTCATCCCTAACACCCGTGACTCAGGGCCAGTGTTATCCTCCCCTTCCTCTCCACCCTCCCTGGGAAAAAGACAGAGCACCCCAGAACCTCTCCTGGAAAGAATGCCGTGTCAGCCTCTGAAGACCCGTGTGAGTCACGTCAACACAGAAGTCCAGGCGGCACAAATCCCCACAGTGCGCACGTCACTGTGCCTGGCACCGAATATCCCCCCCTGGTTTCTCTGGCTCAGCAGTCCCGAGGCCACCCCGTCCCCAGAGGGGGAAACCGAGACTCCAGAGGTGCAGTGACTTGTCGAGACCCGGCCTGGATGAAGCCAGGCCACGTGCGCCGTCCCCCCAGCTCCTGGCTGGGCCACAGGGGTCCCGGAAGGACCCCACTGCTCCTCATACGAGAAGACTCGGGGTCCCCTGGGCTCCCCCTGCTAGCGCCAAGCTCCTCCGTCCTACTACTTCTGCCAATAAGCTGACCACCTGCTCACGAACACACGACTGGGACTCGAAAGACCGGGCCCCGTGGAAGACTGCCAAGTGTGCCGTGACCCAGAACTTGGAAGAGGAAAGTCCCTGGGCTTCTGGAAACCATCTCCCTGCTCCTTCGGCAGATTTTAAAAAAAGAAGAAAAAAAAAAACTCGGATATTGCACAAACACCCCCCGGGAGGGTCCTGAGCAGGCACATTTTGAAAGAGCTGCAAGGTTCCGCTTGGGGCACACCCAGTTTCACTTCCACCGTCCGCTGGGCGGGGGACGGCAGGAGCTCAATCACTGGCCTGGTCTCAGGGCTGGCTGCAGCTGCCCAGGGGGCTCTGGCAGGGGGAAGGCCCAGTGGCGGCCAACACCCACCTACTCCTCACCACATCCACACGTACGAGCACGCCCCCCACTGGACAGGTGGAGAAACAGGCACAGCCTTCAGTTCTTTTCCCCGCCTGCAGCCAGTGACGGCCACTCCTTCCGGCCACAGTCCCCACGGGGGACAGACGGCTCTTCCCAGAGCCAGTGCTGTCCATGGAGAAGGCCTTCCTTCTCCCGATCACCTGTTCCCACTGCAGCTGCACAGGTGTGTGAGCAGAGACAGGAGAAAGTCTCCTGGTTACAGAAAAGGAGCTAAAAGAGAGGACAGAGGAAGACACTCCCAAGTGCAAGGACCATTAAATGCCTGCACAGGTGGCCATGGCCAAGCTGAAGTCTTTTTCTTGAGAGATGTTTCAAAATAGAAGTCTTGTGTGTTACTAGCTGAGGGCATTCTGCCTGGAGCGGGGAGGGGGCGAGGGACGACCCTGAGCCTCTGCTCCCACCTTGAGTGCTCCCCCCAGGAGAAGGGGGGGATTCGGACATCCCCCCAGGAGGAGGCTCTGCCTTCTGCCCCATCCTTCCCCATCACTTCCCTCCGGGAACAGACAGAGCAAACCCCGATGCCCATGGGATGCCACAGGCAGCCTCGCTGGGAAGATACTGCGGGGGGGGGGGGGCGGCTGGGCAACTGCGCTCAGGTGCCCGCGTAGGCAGGTGGGCCAGCCGGCCAGCTCTTCACATCCTCTGAGAGGATCCACAGGTCCGAATTTTACGTGACATCTCTGCATTTTCCAATGCTGGCAGCTATTCCATTTTCTTAAAAACTACTGTGTGGGCCCCGGAACACATGTGCGGCCTGGGTGTGGCCTGAGGCGGGAGAGTGGTGAGATGTTGGACCCCTGAAGCTGAGAATCGCAAGGGACCCTGCAGGCTGCCCTGTGCCTGCCTGGCTCCGCAGGCTGCGGTAACGACCAAAAATTGGCAACGCGGGCCAGACAGCATCACGTACTGTGAACTGCGGTCCCCACGGAAAGGGCTGCTGTCTCCCTGGCAACGCTTCCTGTGCCATCAGAAAATGCCACTCACGTGGCTGACCTCTCACTGGCCTTCGTCACTGGCCCGAGTTCTGCTTTTGCGCCCACAGAGCCAGAAGACACCCAGGTTTCCCTCCGGAAGGTTCTGAATGAGCCCACACGACGCCCCTTCCCTGGACGACCCGCGCGCTCGCTCGTGGGGCAGGGTCGCCTCGCCCTGGACCACCTGCACAGACCACCGCCCTCCAGTGAGTGAAAGGAGGCGGGCCCCGGGGTGCAAATCTAGGTGCAGGACCAAACTTCAGCCTTGTGGTGTACGGGACCACCCTCCAACCAGCTGAGCCACCCGGCCAGGGCCCAGGCTTTGTGTTGCATCAGCAGAAGGGTCTACGGGTTCATGCGAACGTTTTTCAAGATTTGGGGGGGTAGAATATTCCTTAGTTGCAACCTCAAAACACAGCATGGATTTATCATCTTTCTTCTTTAAAAATAACACAGATAATGACAACGGCCACCTTATACTGAGGACTCCGGGGCCTGCGGCTTTGCCATTTGCCCCTCGGGGTCAGGCGCCCTTGATTTCTCCTTTCAGTGGGAGCCAGGGAGGGAGGTTCAGAGAGATTGCACGGTTCCCCTGAGGCCACACAGTGAACACCAGTGGCAACATCCGGACTCGAACCCCAACTCTGACTCCAGGGCCCACTCAGATAAGCACGGTTCTGGGCTATCACTTCCGATACCTTTACTGGCGATTACCTGGATGAGCAAAACAAGCTTTCCTCCAGAGTAACGTGAACAGTAGTAAATGCGGGGGTTCAGTTGAGACTAATCCCCCAGGTAAGGTCCGTGGGCTCAGGCAGAAGCAAGGAAGCCCCTCCCTCCTCGAACACCGCCCCCTAGTGGCGGCCACCAGGCAGGAGGCAGAGAGACAGGTGATGAAGGCCGCAGCACAGGTAAGAAGGGCATGCACCTTGTTGAGGCTGCTGCGGTCGCTGACGCTCTTGGTCAGCTGCTGGATCTCCGCCACCTGGTCGGCCAGCCGCTTCTGCTCGTTGAGCTTCTCAGCCAGCGTCTCCAGCTCCGTGAGGGCCAGCTGCAGCGAGAGCCTGTCCGGGTGGCCCCTGGGGGTGTTCTTCAGCATGTCCTGCAGGGCCCAGAGGAAACCGGAGCTGAGGACCCGCAGCCCGGCAGGCCCTCCGCCGTCTGGCTGGGGTCGCAGCCTCAGCCTCCACACCCGCTGCGGGGACCGGGTCTGAAAGGCCCCGCTTGCAGCCAGGACAGGACGGGTGGCACGCGACACAGAGCGAAAAAATGAAATCAACGTGTGGACCAGTCCCTGCGTCACCGATCAGTGGTATGCTGACAGCCCACTCCCGAGGCTGGCCGGCCTCCTTCCCAGCTGAGGAGGCAGGGCTCACCCCCGACAGAGGTGCCCTAAGCTCTGGGGGCCCTGCAGTGAGGCGGGGGGCCTCATGCTCCCCGAGAAGCCTGAGGTGGCCCAGGTCTGCTCATTCGCTGAGCACCTCCTCCCTGCCTGGCACCCACAGGCCCCGGGATTCCACATGTCTTCATGTCCTTCCCAAATCCTGGGCTCACCCACCACCAGCCACCCAGACTCCCACCCCGGGGAAGTGGAAAATACACTGCCCAGTCTGACCGGCTCCAGTCCAGGAGCAAAGAAAGAGGGGGGCAGGGGCGCAGGCAGGGCCCCGCCCACAGTCCACAGCGGACACACCGGCTGCAGATCAGGCATGAGAAGCCCCTCCCCACAAGGCTCGAACCACCCTGCAGGCCGCTGGCTGTCGGGCCCCCGGGGGGTACCTGAAGCAGGAGGATGAACTGCGGGAACCTCTGGATGGGCTTCACCATCAGCCCGTAGAGCGTGACGCGGTCGGGGCTGCACACCTGCCGCCGCTGTTGGAGACCAGGCGGGGTCACTCGCTGGCCCTCCGCAGCGAGGCCCCGGCGCCGGGGGTGCAGACGCCGCCCGGCCGGCCGGGGCTCCTCTCCCCGGGCCCAGGACTCTGCTCAGCCTCGGGCCTGAGAGAAGAGCCGGGGGAGGGGAGGGTCTCTGGTCCTGCCGCCGGGGCTCCCTGCCACCACGGGGGTCCCCACACGGCCCCTCTCACCCTGGGGAGACTGGAGCAGCCCGGGTAAGGTCTCTCCACGTTAAGCTAAAGCAGCCGGGCCCAGGCCAGGCTGAGGGGTGGGCACAGGGGTCTCACTGTCCTGCTTCTCGCATCTGTTTCCACCACTTCGTCCACACACCTGTCACCTAGACCCTGGCCCTCATCCCTGGCGAGCCAGGCTGCTCCCTCGGCCTCCCCACTGGCCCCCGCTTCCACCTGCCCCGGCCCAGACCTCTGCAGCTGCTCCCACTGCCCGAAACACAAGGTCCTGCAGGTCCAGAACCACCCACACGGGATGCAGCTGCCTCCAGGTGCTCCCTCCTAGGACGCCCCAGAAGGCACCCAGCACTCCCAGGGTCCAACCAGATTCCCCTGACCCCATCCTCCTGCCCCTGACCTTTGCCCCACCACCTCTGCACCTGTTATCCCCCTTCCCCACCCCCATCTGTTACAACATCACCATCCCCCCCCAGGACCCATGTCAGATGCCCTCTTGGAGTGGGGCAGTGGCTTCCTCTGCTGAGGCCCCGGCTCCTGGCCCACCTGCACCCTCTACTAGGCACATGCTTCCTGCAAGGTAGGGTCTCCACACGATTCGCCTGATTGTGCACCCAGGTAGATCAGGGGGAGTCTGGCCACAGCTACATAAGGCCTTTGGTCCTTTCACCTCTAATCACCCACATGAGCCCCAAGATAACCCTTTGAGAAATTCTCCTCGTCCTCTTACAAATCAGGAAAAGGGACATCCCAAAGACACCCTGAGCTACACCTGGAGACCCACCCGAGAGACACGGTGGGCCTCCCCTTCCACCCGGCAAAGCCCAGGCTCCCACGAGGCTGCTGACACTGTAACCCCTTATCACCCTCCTGTGGGGGGCGGGAGGAACCCACCATCTCCCCGTGAGGCTGGGGGTGCCCCGAAGGAAAGAGGAGGTGCCCAGGCCAAAGCGATGCGGTACCTGAAACTGGGCTAAAATCCCCCCTCTCCCCCGAGCAGCCCTCCTGCCCCACCACGGCCTGCACCCCGCTGAGAGGGGCCCCAGGCCGCCGCCAGGCCCACCTTGAGGAACTCGAGGAACGCGGGCTTGGTGAGGCAGGCCTTCTTGATGATGGACATGGCGTTGGTGAAGTTGTTCACGTAGTCGCTGTACACATCTAGCACCATGGACTTCGAGAACTGAAACAGGCGTGCGTGTGGCCAGGGAGGGTCACGTCAATGCGCGGGGGGCTCCGCACCCCCCACCCTCACTCACTGCACCACAGCCGCTCTGGCAGCACACCCCGTGGGGCCTCAACGCTCCTGGGGTCAGGACATGGGTCACCACCCCCCCGGGGGAGGAAACTGGACTCAGAGAGGCTGCAGGGAGGAGGAGGAGGTGGTGACAAGGAAAACTGGGCGCTCCCCCTGCCCCGGCACGGCAGCCCTGGCCCACAGGTGAAGGGGGTACAGGCGGGACACCCCTGTTCTATATGCATTTCCTCACCAGGCCCAGGAAAGGAAATGCCCCAGGCCCTCCTGCATCAGGGACGGGGCTCCTGTCCCCAAGCCCACTGGATGCACTGGCCAGGGCGTCGGCTCTGCTGAGAGCTCAGGTCTTCTCTCGGCAGAACCCACCCAGTCACCGAAAACAGACCGGAGCAGGGGTCTACCAACATCACCCTCCTTGGCTCCGTGAATCTCTCCGGGGCCCACAGATTTCAGTTGGAAAAACCACCAGTGCATGCACCCCTCATTCCACAGAGGGGACATGGGCCTGAGAGGGCCCTGGAGCTGCCGGACGTGGCACAACGGCTGGGGCCGGGCCAGGCCTCCGGGAGCATGAGCCGGTGCACTGCTTAGGAGCCGGCGCCCTGGGGCAGCCTCGGGGGCCGAGACACGGTCTGTTTGAGCATCGCACACGGCGGCCACCCCGGGCGTGCTGGGCAGGGGAGCTGCAGACTGCCGGTGGCCGCCCACGGTGGTCACCTGGAGGTCACCAGCACCACATCCACACACATCTCCAAGGGCACGCTGGGCACTGGGAGGTGCCACCCCCAGCTTGGACCACACGGCTGATTCAGGCCCTGCCACCCTCAGACCACCCCCCAACTTGGACGAGGTGACCGGGCAGAGGCCAGAGGCTGGCCCCAATGACCTCAAGATCCGGCAGGCGGTGGTTCTCCCCTTGGCGGACCAGGGCAGGAGCGTCTGGGGACACGCACCGAAGCCACGAAGAGGTCCCCGATCTTCTCGGTGGAGTCCCACTCGGCCACGCGGGAGGACAGGGCGATCCGGAACATGGAGTGGCAGTGCAGGATCTCCTTCACACGGAAGAACACCGCCTGGCACTTGCGGACGCTCAGCACCTTGGGCTCCATCTCCATCAGCGGGTTGCGGTAATCCTGCCGGGGCGGGCAGGGGCGGGCAGGGGTGAGCGCCGCACGGCCGGACCGCAGGCCCTCGCCCACCCTGACCGAGGCCCGAGAGAGCTCGGCGGGCCGTGGGTGGGCCTTCGTAGAGGGGGACATGTGTCCCTCGTCCTCATTCGCCTGTCTTCTGGGAGGACCTCCCTGCACGTAACCCCCTGGCCCTTCTGTGCCCACCCCCCGCCCACCCCCGTGACTCATGTGTGAGGCTGGGTTGGGAGGAAGACGCCTGCCCCTGAGGAGCTCCGCGGAGTCGGCGCCAGGGCCGGGCTAGCCGAGCTGGGCTCTGACGGAGCAGTGGGGGGATGTCCCAGCAGGCACCCCCTCGGCCCCCCCAGACCTGGAGCTGCAAGCTCCAACCAGCTTTGTCCGAAACACAGGATGTTTTCGTCGCCCCTGCCTGAGGTTGGAGCTCCCCGCTGCAGCTTCCCACCCCGGCCGTTCCCTCCCCTGCCGGCCCACGGTGTCCCAGCGGGTTCATCTCTCAGAAACTCGAAGGACAGACCAGCTGGATAGGCCTTCATCTAGTCGTGTGACCATCCAGCAACCCTGGGTATCTGATGGGGAGGGGGGGGTGCACCCTACTCCCCACCTTGGGGTGCTCCAAGATGACGGGAAGACACCGCCCTGTCCCAGGGGCCTCCCGGGCTGGCGAGGAAGATACGGCCCCTTTCCTGCCCTGGCCCCTCCGGAACAGCCCTCATTCCACAGAACCCCACCTTTGCTTCCAAAAACACAGTCCTCCTGTGAACACCAGGGGCCCCGTCCCCTTAAAACTGCCCACGGTCCCCAAACACTCCCGGTGAAGTGTCCCCGCGGGGCCCTCCCTGCCCTTTACCCGGGGGCCCGGGGCCGTACCTGGAGCACCCGCTTCAAAGACTCCACGTAGCTGCCCTCACTCTGCACGATGGAGCCCAGGATGTGTCTCCGGACCACCTGCTCGGGCCAGAGAACGCGGTCAGCGCCTGCGCCAGCCACGGCACCCAGCCAGCACCTGCTGGGGATGCCGAGCCCCGGGTGGCGGGAAGAGGAGTCGCAACACCCAGAGGAGCCGACGGCTGAGGGCCGGAAGGGACCTGCCCCCCACAGAGCCCACTCGTGGGACCCCTGGGGCCTGGGGGGCCGGCATTTCCTTCCAGGGCCCCTGCCCACCCCAGAGACACCCCTGCTCCCCACTGCAGCATGGGGCAGGGGGCACCGGGGCAGGAGTCCCGGCCTCGGCTCACACACGTCCAGGGATGGGGGCATCACGGCCTCTCCCGCAGTGGGGCGGTGGCCTCCTCTATCTCTGAACAACCCCAGGAGAAAAGTCTTTCTTAGACGAAACCGAAATCCCAGCTCCCACCACGTGTGGAGCCGATCCTTAGCCGACCCCCTCCCACCACGTGACGGGCTGCCCCGCACCCCACCGAGCACGGTCCCAGCCCCTCCTCTTCCCCCGCCCCACCCCCACCTCTCCTCCCCTCGAATCCGAGGCCTGCCAGGCGAAGCCCGAGCAGCACCAGGTCAAGCACGTGTGACCTGCACCCCTGTCACCCGGATACCAGGTGCGGGGGAGGGGGCACAAATGTTGCTGCCCACTGGAATCACGGGGGCATCTTTAACAACATTGTCACCTGGCCCCGCCTCCACACAGTCTGATTGAGTTGGTACCACCTGGGTGTCGGGGCTGTCAAAGCCTTCTAGATGATTCTGTTACGGAGCAAAGCCAGGGCAGAGCACATATGTGAGAGGTGGCCCATGGGGAGCCTGTTCACCTGGGTCCAGAGCTGGGATGGTGACTGACCCTCACTGTGTCCCCACAGCCATCCCGAGAGCGTGATTCCAGGCACCCACCGTCACCCACCGCCACCTTCCCTGCGGCCCTCCGCCACCTCCCTCCCGCCTCCAGCGCCCCCTCTCACCTCTTCCCGCTGCCCAGCCTGCGGTGGCCCAGGCCTGACTGAGGCCCGCACAGCCCCACAACTGTGTGACAGGCCAGGCCACTGCCCTTCCAGCTGTGCCACGGGTGGGTACACGGTCATTAACCCCCTGGTGCCCACGCTGCCCCCCGAGCAGAGTTCTCGACCTCGGCACGCTGGCATTTGAGGCCAGGTGACTGGGCCGTGGGCCGTCCTGCGTGCTGCGAGGTGTTTCCCAGCGTCCTGGGCCCTCATCCCCTGGAATCCGGCAGCGTCTCTCAGTTGGGACAACCAAAGATGCCACCAGACGTTGCCAGATGTCCCCTGGGACACAAAATCACCGAGGCTGAAAGCCACCGACCCAGAGCAACTGATCTGGCCTGATCCAGGAAAGGCAAAGGCCCCTGAGTGGGGAGACCGGCCAAGGCCCGGCAGCGGAGCCCGGGCCGTGAGCTGGAGGCCGGGGTCCCACGCAGCTCCAGCGGCTCGGACGGGCCTTGCCACAGTGGGCGGGGCGGGGGCATCCGCCTCTCACTGCCGTTCAGGGGCCGGGCCAGAAACAGGGATGAAGGAAGAGTCCCAAGGTGCGAGGTGTGGCCACAGCTCCCTGATTTCTACAGGAGGCCACCCATTGGGATTTCCTGCTCCCGAAAAAGCATGACAACCCCCTTCACCGAGCTTGGTGCCCCTACCACGGCCTGCTCAGTGTCCTCACAACCAGAGGAAAGCGGGCATCTCTCACCCTGCTTCGTGGCTGGGAAAACCCAGATGGGGAGGGAACCAAACGGGACCAGCCACAGTCCCAGAGCAAGGCCGCCCGTCTCGTGCGATGCTGGGAGGAGGGAGACATCGCCCGAGGAGCCCCAGCTCCGAGCGGAAGCCCTCGGGGACTCTGACGCCCCAGCTTGACGACAGGCGGGCAGAGAGTGGGGCTGGGCACCTCGCTCGCCTCCAGAGCCCTCTCTGAGTTGGATTAGTTCGGTGCTTCTCAGCCCTTTTTTAATTGCAGTCCCTTCGTTGGAAGCAGCTGAGTCGGAGCTGCTCTGGTTGCCAGGGGCGTGGGAGGCAAAGCTCCAGAGGTGGGGCCCCATGGCCCAGGACAACGGCATGGAGCCCACAGGCCCGGTTCGAGAAGTCTGTGCGGCCAGGTAAGAGGAGGCCCCAGGAGGCCCCAGCTGGGGTTCTGCCAAGAGCCCTCGATCATCACTTCCCCTTCAAGATGCAGAGCTTATGGCCCCAGGTAACAGGCTGGGACCCCAACCAGGCCGTCCCCTACAGACCCCCACCCCCCCAGTCCCTCCCACAGACCTGCTGAGGGCTCAGGCCATCTGGCATGGGGCCCAGCTCCGGGGCCGGGGGCTTGATGTCCGTAACGCTGACCTCCAGGAGCCCCATGTCCTCCTCCTCCGAGTCACCTGGAAAATCAGATATGCCGGTGACACGTGCCTGACAAGGACAACACACTCTGCTCGGACCCCAGGAGCTGGGAACCGCCCCAGCCCAGGGTCCGGGGGCTGAGCAACGCCTGGGGCCACACACGGGGTCAGAGCCCGTCACTGCGTCCACAGCCACGTTCTGCCGCAGCAGCCCGTCCCTAAGTAAACGTGAGCAAGGGAGGGAGGGACACCAAACACTGTGCGGTGCGGCCTGGCTCTCGGGATCCGCTCCGCCCGAGTCCCTGCCCCGGCCCAGACCCACCCGCGCCGGCCGGGCAAGGGCCAGGCCGCCTGAGTGCCCGTCGCTGGGCACTAAAAATAGTCCTCTCCTGGCTGACCTAAAACGGGGGAAGAAAGCCTCCGAAAGAACGAGCTGTTTGCCTTCGTGTTTGCACCTTTTCCAAAACTACGCAAACACTCGAAAGGGGAAAGTTCAGCTGGCATCCTCGGGGCACACGGGCACGAGTGGGGGCGGGCCTCTGACGGAGGGCACGAGGGGCCAGAGGCTCAGGCAGACAGAAAGGGGGGCGGCCAGGCAGGGCGCAGGGGTCTGGGAGGCTGGCCTCGGCGGCCCCGTCCCTGCAAGAGACGCAGGCACCGGGAGACGGGACCCCGGCCGCGCTCGGCTCTGAAACCCCGGGGCGGCGGCCCCCCCTGGGGCGGCAGGAAGCGGGTGCTGTGGGGAAGCTGGGAAGAAAGAGGAAGTGGTCGTGATCCCGGGGGCCGTGGGAACAGGGACGCCCGGGCGGGCCCTTACCTGAGCAGGAGACCGAGGAGGAGGAGGAGGAGGGACAGCGAACGACCGCGCGGGGGTGGCCGTGGGGAGGGCCCTCCTGCCTGGCCCACATGGTCCCCGGGGCATCGCTCCGCGCCCACCCCAGCCACCGGCCCTGCGGCTTCCTCTTCCCCCAAGAGCCACTGGGCAGCATTCTTGGCTGGTGATTCGAGCCCTGCCACGGCTATTAATAACCCCTCTGGTGGGAGGGTCACTTCAGGAAAGGCTCTGGGCTAACGGGTCGAGTGGGGAGGGCCTGGGGACAGCCCGCCGGCCGCCTGGCCGGCCTGGGGGTGGGGAGAATGACCGGGAACAGCTCCCAGCCAGCCCGCCTGGCCACCCTGCCCTTTCCCCATGCCTCTGCACTGCATCTGGAATGACCCCTGGGTCTGTTCCCCTCCTCATCAGGGGCCGTGGGTCCCCCACAGGCTCCCCCATCCAGTGAATACAGCGGTGGGATTAACTGCTCAGGGTCACACAGCCGGGAGGCTGGAAAGCTGGGATCTGAACCCAGGACAGCAAGATTCCGTCCTGGCACCAGACGCCCCCACCGAGGGTCAGCCCACCGAGGATAACGCTGGCCACACAGGAGCTGGGGGCTGCACCAGGCTCTCTCCACGCACTGCCTCGGCCGCCCTCCCCCCAGCCCCGAGACAGAGCCACACCAGCCCGCCGTCCGGATGAGGAAACCAGGACACAGGGAGGGTCAAATACGTAACTTTTCAAGAGGGCACTGAGCCTCGAAGTTCTCCCTGGCTTGAACACCTGACCCAGCCCCGACCTCGCACTCCTTCCGGCACAGCAGCCAGAGGAAGGGCCCCCCGAGTCCCTTTCATGCCCGTGGGTCCCCAGGCCGGTCACCGACCCACTCTGTGCCTGTCCCCTCATCTCTGAATGGGAACGGGCCCAGGCAGCTGTCTGGTGGTCGTACGCATTAAGGGAGGAGCGGCAAAGCTCTGAGGAGTGCCTGACACCCCATAAATGTTCGGTAACTGGGAGCCGTCACAAAAGTCATTTCTTGACGTCTCCTACCGCCTCCCGGCCTTTGCGCGTGCTCGCTCCTGTCCCCCCTCGTCCTGCTCGCAGCCCTCCCCCCGCCTTCCACCTCCTCACTGCACACCCATCTCCTCCACACCACGCCATCACGCCCCCATGCCGCCTGTCACCAGCATTGGCGTGTCCTGTCTACATGCCTGTCTCCTCCACTGGGCCAGGAGCCCCTGGGGGAGATGCTGCTCAATGCATCTTGGCATCCCTGCACCCAGCGTGGGGCACGGCACTTAGCAGGTGTTCAGTTAATACTGGCTGGCAGAAAGACGGGCGGAGGGGTCAAGGCAGGAATGAACCAGCAGCCCTCAAAGACGAGGCCGGCGGAGAACGCCAGTGTGGGAGGCCGGAGGCCAGCCGCAAGGCCACGGCCGAGGGCAAGGGTAGGGATGCTGCAGGGGGAGGCCACGCCTCCCAAAGAAGAAGGAAATAGGCTGAGACAGTGGCCGGCCACTTGGGGCTCAGTCGCCAAGCGCAACCGCCGGAGGAGCCGACACCAGTGACCGCGCCCACGGGTCCCTCTGTCCGAGGACCGGAGACCAGCCCTCCGGCCAGCCCGGCCCGCAGCGCCTCACCGAGGACGTCTTTCCTGTGCAGAAAGGACACTTTTCGCAGGACGGCGATCCGCGTCTTCTCCAGCCCGTCCTTCGTCCCGCTCTTGGCGGCCTTCATGAACTGGGTCATCTGGGCGGGGGCAGAGGGACTCATCAGAGAAGCCGAGGGAGGCCCTGGGATGCCGGCCACCAAGGGCGACCACCCCCGCCCAGGCCTCCAGGCCGGGGCCACGGGCGTCGAGCCCCCAGGGCCCATCCCTCCCACAGGGGTGGCAGCAGAGACGGGGAGGGACAGCACCGTGGTACAACCCTGAGGGCTCCTGCGACAAGTGAGAAGGGGCATCTGCGCCCAGGGGGTCTGTCTCCCCGGGAGGACCCTCTTCACGGGCAAGGGGGGGGGGGTCCTAACTCGATGCTTCCCCTTTGGGACAAACTACACAGCACTTACTCCCAAAAAACTAAGGAGAAGGTGCCCCCGCAGGGGAAAGGCTCGAGGCCTGGAGTCCTAGCCTGGGTTCAAATCCCAGCTCCGCCACTCCCCGGCCACGGGACTCCGGACGAGCCTCAGCCTCAGGGAGCCTCAGTTTCTCACTGAGACTCATCAGCGTCTGTGAGGACGAGACTTCCCAGGGCCTGGGAAGGCCCACGGAACACCAAGCTGAGCTGCACCAGTGTCGCTGGTTACTTAAGGGGCAGCTAAAAGGGGGTGGGCGCACGCACCGCCACCCCATCTGCCAAACCCGAGTGAGGAAGCCTGTCCCTCGCACTCCCCCGCCCCCAAACAGCCAGGTTCCTTACTGAGCCGCTGTCCGGGAAAGGAGAGGAGACTGAAGTTGCCACAGAGCCGGGCAGAGCTTCCCCTGGGCGGGGAGGGCCCCGCAGACACAGGCACAGCAAGCTAAGCAGAACTCGGGGCACGGGAGGAGGCGTGCCCGGGGGTGGGGGGGAGCGGGCACCCTGGGTGCAGGAGGAGCCCCGGGCCTGCAGGCAGAGCTGCTGTCCCCTCGCTCATTCTTTGGTCCCCTCAGCACCCCGCCCAGCCTTGGCATCCTCCCCAGCGCGCAGCCAGCGCCGCGGGAGGGAAGTCCCCAGGAGGACGGAAACGCCGGCCCTCAGGCCACCCGACACGGCGGCCGCTGGCTGGATGCAACTATCGGACACCAGAAGAGTGGCTGCTGCCGCTGAGGACCTAAAGGCCTGAACACGGTCCATTGTCATTAACTTCAGTTTAAATAACCACATGGCTTTCGCAACAGACAGTGTGGCTTTAGGAAAACCCTCTCCTTCCTACAGCTCTCTGCTGAAGGTAGGGAGCACTCCTTTGGTGGGGGGGGGGGGGGTCCCTAGTCTCTGCTCTATCGCCTTCCTGCAAACACCCGCTGCATAACGGGTGGGGACCTTCGTGCAAGTCCGGGAGAGGAGGTCTTGCTGCAAACCCGGTGGGTGCCGAGGCCCGGGCGGGGTGCAGGGCGGCGGCTTTTCAGGAACCAGCCGACTTCCTAGAAACAGCCGACAGAGGGGCAGGGAAGGCCCCAGCCCCTCCCCACACCTACAGGGACGACTCCAGAGTGGCAGTTCCCGGCCTTTTGGGCGGGGAGGGTCATAAACGCCTTTGAGAACTAATGAGAGGGACGGATGCTGACACCATCACAGCACAAAGATGCTTATCCTCTTCTGGGGGGGGGTCGCACACACACCCCCCCCAGATGGGAAACCTCTGTGCAGGGGCCTGGTTCCTGTCCCGGCAGAAAGCCGTCGGGGGCGCTGTCCTAGCCGCCGCTGAAGCGGTCTTTGGGGGAACACCTCAGGCGTCTGTTGGCATGTTCACGGGCCAGAAAAGAACAGGGGAACGCCCCAAAGGCGTCCCTGAGTGAACCTGCCACCCCCATCCATCTTCCCCGTGTGGAGGCCAAGGTCAGGAAAGGCACCCTGGTCCTGGGCTCTTGTCCTTCACGTGTTCCCGGCTCCCCTCTGGGCTTCGGCTTCCTGAGAAGTTCAGCCTGCCCTGCCCCCCGGCCCCGGGCCCCAGGCCCCTAAGGGGATGTCTAAAAGGGCCCTTCGAACTGTGAGGTACCTCTTCTCCTCCTCCTCCGGGGGAGGCCCTGGGTTCTCATGAAAAGGTCACTGCCGCAGGCCGGGGAATTCACTCTGACCCGCAGGAGCCCGGGTCTGAAGCCCCGCACTGCTGCCGACAGCCGGCGTGACCCTCACTGTGCTCCCTTGCTAATGCGAAACGACAGCAGTAAGGCGGCGCCTCCCAGGCCGCCCTGCGGACAGAACAGCCAGGCGCACGGACAGCAATGCCACCATCCACTGGGTGCTCGGGTGGTGCCCCCTGCAGCACGGAGCGCCTGACAGACCTGAGCTTGTCGAACCCCTACATCCATCCGCCTCGGGGCTGGTACTGTTAATGCCCCCCTTTCACAGGCAAGGAGACCGAGGTCAGAGAGGCCAAGAGACCCACGAGGATCACACAGCAAGAAAGTAGTGGGACAGGGATTCAAACCCAGGCCTCCGGGTCTTCAAGGCCCATGGCACATGGTAGGTGCTCAGTTAATGCAAGCTACCGCTGTCGGCATCATCACCCTCCAGGAGTCTGAGGCCCGTCTGAGGAGGGGGTGCCCTGAATCTCCCTGAACAGCTAGGAGGGGGTGGGGCGTGCAATGTCACCACCACGTCTCTCCAACGGTAACCCAACCCCATCCTCCACAGTTATTAAGCCCACAGCTTGGGGGGCCTTGGTCCACACCTGCAGAATCCGCCTCTCTGGGGGTGGAGCTCGGGGATCTGCATGTCTCAAAGCACCCCAGGGGATTCCGAGGGCCCGAAGTTTGAAAACCCACCCAAGGGACCCCTGTAGATAGATGGCTAAGGTTCCACTCGAGGGTAGGGAGACAGAGGCAGCTGAGGACGTGGAAGGAAACCAGCCAGCTGAGGCGTCCACCGGTTCCAGCACAGACGTGAGAGGCGGGGCCAGCTCTGGGTCTCGGGGGCAGCCCAGGACGCGGGCCCACCCTCTGCGGCCCCGGGACTCGGGAGGGACAGACACACAATACCTTACAATCGTACTTGTGCTTCAGCTCCTGCATGTCTCTCCCCCCAACTCTTAAAGCCAAGATGTCTCTCTTAGTCCTGGCGTATCTCTCCTTTAGCCTAGTCAGGTCTGGAGAAAGCTGGAGCCCCCAAGCGGCCAAGCGGAAGGACAGCAGGTGAGAGGAGCAGGCAGGACAGGGAGGAGACAAAACAAGGACAACGGAGGAAAAAGGAGACTCAGGTAAGGTGGCGGATGGACCATCGGGGCAGGTGGGACTGGGGACCTGGGGACGACCAGGGCCCAAGCAGTGGTCCAGCCAGGCTCCTACCTGGCACGGCTCCAGCATCGTCCAACCCCAACCTGTCAGGGAGCTGGGCTGGGCCTCTTCTGCGGCAGGGAGCCCCCCACCCCCGCTGGAGAGGAGCGGTGGGAGGGGAACAGCCCGGGCCCCCTTTCAGGGAAAGGACACAGTGCCGGGAGGACAAGGACCACATCTTCGCCATCTCCCCATCCCGGGGCTCGTGACATGAGAGGTTCTTGGCAACTCTGTGATACGGATGGATGGCAGGTGGGTGGATGAGCGGAATGGATGGGCGTGGGGATAAACGGAGGCGCAGGTGAATGCACAGAAAGATGGGCAGATGGGCGGAGGGTGGCTGGGCGGGTAGAGAACAGAGACAGGTGGGTAGACGGACAGGTGCATGGATGGGTGGATGGAGAGATACATGGACAGATGCATACATGGACACACGTAGTTAGGTGGCTGTGTAACAGAGCAAAGGGATGGAAGGATGGACGACAATGAAATGAATGAAAAACATAAAGGGACGCGTGGACTGGTGGGTGGAGAGAGACAGTGCCGTGCTGACAGATCTTTGACAACCCGTCCTCCAGGAAACAGCTCCGCTCTGGGGCATGCCCACAGTTCAAACGCTCCCACCTGACCGATTCCAAGCGGCCAGCCTGGAGAACCGGATGTGGAGTTGGCAAGAGATGCACACAACTGGTTCTGGGGTTCCTGCGGGCCAGGACAAGCTGGCTCTAGCACACCACTGGAGGGAGGGCAGAGAGACAGAGGGCAGGTGGGCGGGAGAAGTGGACAGCTGGATGGAAGGATGGACGGGTGAGCGGCTCACATGCCACCTAGAAAGATGGGTAGATGGACAGACGAACAGGTAGGCATTCGCATGCATGAAGCGTATAAGCAACAGTGGTGTTTCGTGAAGCGCACTGAAGGCCAGGACAGGTGGGTCGTCCAGAGGAGCAGGCGAGCAGAGAAATCAAGGGTACGACCTCTGAAGGCAGGCGAGCCCGCCTTCAAATCGCCACTCCCTGCTGGCAGCTGGAAAAGTCTCTTCACCTGTCTGAGTTACAGCTTCCCCACCGGCGGACTGGCCATGAGGCCACCTGCTCCACGGCGCTCTTGAGAAGATGAAATGGATGATACACATAAAGCCCAGAGCTACCACCATACTATCTTATGCAAATGAGTGCTCCGTATCTGTTGAAGGGATGGGTGGGTGGGTGGATGGATGGGTGGGTGGATGGATGGGTGGGTGGGTGAGTGGATGGGTGGGTGGGTGGGTGGATGGGTGGGTGGATGGATGGGTGGGTGGGTGGGTGGATGGATGGATGGGTGGGTGGATGGATGGGCGGATGGGTGGGTGGATGGATGGGTGGATGGGTGGATGGATGGGTGGGCGAGTGGGTGGATGGATGGGTGGGTGGAAAAGGCATTTTCTTTCAATTCATACATGATGAGGTGTGGCTCTGCCACTGACTGGCTGTGTGACCCTAACCACATCACCTAACCTCTCTGAGCTTCTGTCGCTCATTTCTCTGATGAACAAAATGAGACTCTTAACACCAATAATACCCCCCACTCTGGAGTATTAGGAAAACTAAATGAAGCTGCTTTGTAACTGGGACCACGCTAGGCAAAGGTTTGTGATTGTTACACAAAGAAATAACGGGGCAGAGATACTACACTGAGGTACTCAGTGACCCCCAAAACTGAGGAGTATGAACCATGTCCTGCATCCTGTTTCATCCGTAAATGAGACTGACACGGTAAAATTGGGAAGCCCACCTGGGCCATCCGATGCCCTCCACCTCTCTCAGGTCCAAAGAACCAGCAGCGGGAGTCGTCTGCAGAGCTGGCCAGACCAGAGCAGGGCAGCCAACAAGCCTGGGGTCAGAACTGGCTCTTCTGCCCTGAGCAGCTGGATCCCGGTGACCTTGCTTACAAAGAGGTCACCATGGGAAAGTGCAAAAGCTCATTCCACAGCGAACTTCTGGAAGGCAGCCCATTCCACAATTGGGAAAAAAAGTAACTGCCACTGACCACGGGGTGGCAGCCAGCAGGTGCTCACTAACGTAAGAGGATGGGGCTCCCGCTCACACTGGGTGGGCGGCTTCCAAGGAGCTCCCTCTACAGACCCCTCTGTTACTTCCATTAGCAAAAATCCACCCCCTGAGAGCTGGCCCCTTAAGACCCTTGAAGGAGGGACCCACCAGTCCTCTTGCAGCCGGGCAGGGTCCCAGGCCCCCACTCGGTCTCCAAGGACAGGACAAAATGCTTCCCCAGGTCTCTGCCGCCCAGGGGCTCACAGCCACACAACGTAGAGCCGAGCAGCAGTGGCCCCGAAACACGCAGCCCCTGCCGTGACAGGCGCAGGAGCAGGCGCGTCCCAAGAAGCTCAGGGGGGCACAGCACTGCAGGCAGAGCTTGTGTGGGACAGCGGGGGGGCGGGGGGTGGGGGATCCCAGACAGAGGTGCATGGGTGCCGGAGGGAGGGCCCCTGGGAGCCTGCAGTTCAGGGAGCAGGAGGGCCTTTCCCACAGCCACAGAAAAAGTGGTTAGAAATGCCAAGAACTCTGCCCCGTTGTTTATCTGTTGGGGGAGAATCCAGAGCCCCAGCCTCTGGGTGTGATGGACTGAGCTCAAGGCAACAGTCAGAGGCCCCCCGGGGGAGGGGGACCAGCCCAGCATTCTCAGAGTGGTCCGTGGGCCCCCAGCATCCCCTGCAGGCAGAGCTCTGGTTAACAGGCAGATGGCCCTGCCACACCTAAACCCTGAACCAGAGTCCCCGAGGGGAGGGAGACCCGGGCATCTGCCATTTCAGCCAGCTACCACGTGCCTCCGATGCCCGTGCATGTCTGAGGGCCACCACTAGAGGGCCCCGTGGTGCCCTCCCCGTCCCCAGCAAGAAGGCAGGGGCTGGGAAAGTGGCTGTGGGGGTTCAGGAGGGACAACCAGAGGTGGAGAATAAGGGCTGGCCCAGGCATCGCGTCTGCTTGCTCCCACGACCCAGGGCAGGGCTTGGAGGGCTTGGACCTACCCACCCTGCCCTCCTACACAGAGGCTGCCCAGGGGACACAGGGGGTTCATAACTGAAGCCCCCTTTGTCTCCTAAAGCAGTGCAAGCTGCCCCTTTCTGAGGACAGAGCAGGGACAGCCCCTTCCTGGGCTTCCGCCTGGGCCATTCCTTCAGCCCAGGACACCTTTCCGTCCCCTCTGGCGTCTGCACCCCCACTCCCAGCTCCGCTCCCTTAGACCCCTCCTCTGACCGGCCCCACCGGGTCCGACCCGAGTCAGACAGGCAGCCATAGGTACAGGGGCTCATGTCTACGGGGAGGCGTGTGCCTCCATTTCTGACAAACTAGTTCATTTTCAGTATCCCTTCCAAGACCGCAAAGGCTCCCCAAGCCTGGCTGGGTCTTTCTGCGCCCGTGCACCCCAGCCCATACCCTAAGATACGGACTGGGGACACAGTAGATATCAAAGACAGTAACATTTTTGCTAGCACAATGTCAAGGCCATCTTCGGAGGCCCCGCCCACGGAGGCCCCGCCACGAGAGGACCAGGGTTCAGGAGAGACCTGCTCAGCTCCCCGGCTTCCCGAGGACTCGGGGAGCCCTTCCTGATCTGAGGAAAGGCTGCCTGAAGACTCTTGGGCTAGCACTCCTCTCCCGGAGGGGATCCCCACACTTAGGAAGAACAGGAGGCCCCAGTAATCCCAGCCCCATCTGGGATCCCCTGCCTTGTCCCTGCCCCGCTTTCGGGCAGGGCTGGCCAACAGGTGGCGCTCATCTGCCTGTTTGTGTCTTTTCAACAGGAGCCCAGGGGGGAGCCAGTCCCCTCTGGTCAGTCAGGGCCTGCCTGTAAGAAGCTGCTCCCATTAGACCCCTAATCTCAGCAGAGACAGAATCTGCCTTCTGGAGGCTTGTATAGGATACACGGGAGGAGTGAGGCTGGCACAGGAGAGGAGGAACCAGCCAGTCCGCCCTCCTCACACTCGCCGTGGCTCCCTCCGGGAAGTCAGCGGAGGAAACCAAAGCCTGGACAGCACTGCGACAGGCCGTGGGAAGAAGCCTTTCGGGCAGCTCTGCCTCGGCCTCGGCAGCCCCCGCCTGTCCACCTGCCCTGGCGGAGGACCGGAGGTCCTGGGCTGGTCCCAGAGCACAGACCAGTGCAGGGCAGGGGGACCAAACTGACTTGGTCCAAGAGCCAACTCGCATCAGCTGGCTGGGCTGCCTGGAGCCCTGCGTCGAGGGGGATTCTGAAGCCCAATCCGAGGGCACGAGCATCGCGGTCAAAGCCGGGATCTGCCACAGACGCGGCGCCTGGCGCAGACCGCGCCCATCCCAGCATCGGGGCTCCCCGTGGCCAGACAGCAGCATCGGCAGGTCATCTCTTGTTTTGGGGCGCCTGGGTCACCACCTCTCTCACGCATTCCCGGGCAGCCCTGGCTCTCACCACCCCCATTATCCCCTCCGGGAGGCAGTGCCCCGGCTGCGGTGAGGGACACCCCCGCCCCCTCACCTTGGGCTGGAAGGACACTCGGTGCTTGGCGGGCTCTGCCTCGGGCTTGGCCTCCTCCCCTGAGTCCTCGCTGTAGCTCTCGAACTCGCTGGAGCTCCAGCCCAGGTCCTCCGTCTCCCGGGGCGCCCCGTCCCGGTGCACGTCCTCGTAGAGCAGGTTCCTCTCCGCCCCTGTTGGCCAAGGGACAGGGCTGGTGAGCGGGGGACACCGAGGCCAAGCCCACTGGACCCAGCGTCTGAGCCCTGGTGCGATGCTGGGGGGTGGGTAGGGGTGCGTGTGGTTTGGCCTTGGAGCTCCACCTCTGCCCCCATGTCCGCAGAACAGAGGTGACAGCAACACAACAGCCACCCAGTAAAGTGAGGAGGATGCAGGAAAACGCAGAAAAGCACAAGCCTTGTGCCAGACACACAACCGGGCTCAGTAACTTCCTCCCACTGTCAGCACTACTTTTCTGGGCTCTGAGCGCTCCTCCCGGGCCTCCCAGGTGTATTTTAAATTTGTTGATTGATATTTAGAAAAGGGTAAAGGAGAGAGACAGAGAGAAACATCAATCTGTTGTGCCACTTATTTACGCATTCACCGGTTGATTCTTGTATATGCCCTCACTGGGGATCAAACCCACAACCTTGGCACATCGGGACGATGCTCTAACCAACTGAGCCACCCAGCCGGAGCTCCTAGGCCTTTTTTAGTAGGAAAGAGAAGGCCCAGGACCAAGTCCTGACTCAGGCCCTCAGCTCTGGCCTCAGCATGGTGGGGGCAACACAGAGATGGTCAGGCATTAAATGAGCCAGAACCCTGCCCCCGGACCTGCGTTTCCCACATGGATCCAAGAGGGTCCAGTAGGGGGCGCACCTGGTCCAGAGTCCAAAGCCCCACAGGAAATGCCTTAAACCAAAAGCTTGGGGACAAAGACCTGAGAGCCCACTAGCCTAGACAGACAAGTGCCACCGGGGCCTGGGCACTCCTGGGATCTCTGTCAAGTCCAGTGTAAGGTGCTTCTTCCAGGCGGAGGTGCGAAGCCACTGTCCCCAGACGACAACACGGGGCTTCCAGCCCTGCCCCAGCTCCACCACTGGGAGATCTGGGGCTTCACCTTCAGCCCCTGGGACTCACTTCTGGGCCTGCTGCCTGCAGAGCCGAACTGCACACCCCACAGAAGGGAGGCCGGGCTCCCAACGCCGCACGCAGGTGCAGACACTGCTGCCAGCCCAGAGAGAACATGGCATCGGGAAGGGCTTCAAACCCTGCTCAGGAAGCACATGTGCTGAGGAGTGGGGAGCTTCAGTTTTCGGGGACCTCTCCGCAAAATAGGGGTGATAATAACACGCCAAAAGGTGGCATAAATAAAGCACACGCGTAAAGCTCCAGCAGAGAGCAGCTGATCTTTACTCAGGGGGGCCCTGGGTGGGCTTGGTGTCATCGCGCTGGCCTCGAGGCCCCACCTGCCCCCATCCCCCCGCAGGAAAGCTGGAGGCGGGGGTCTGGAAGACTGTCGTCAGCCAAAGAACAAACGAGACGCACTGAGGCTAAGCCGGAAACTCAGGTCCCGGGATCAGCAGGGAGCAGGAGGTTATTTTTAAGCAAAAGAATAATAGTGACTAATGTCTCCAGGGAGTGGAGCAGCTGGTGACTAGGCTGTGACCTTCACAGGGCTGGGTGGATGGTCCTGCTACTGCAGTGGAAGCTCCACCAGTTCTTGGGCCAGCGGGGTGCAAATGACCACCCCTCCTATGAGGCAGATGAGAAAACAGGACCCCGAGAAGGCCTGGGACTTGCCCAGGGTCAGGTCACTGCCTGAAGGGGAGGGGGCTGCAGACTCCTAGGCCGGGCTCCATCCATTCACCGCACGGCTTTCCGCCGAAGCCCTTCCATCCTGAGGACCACCCTGGGCTCATTTACAAAGACTCTCTCCGGTGGACACAGTGTCGCCAGATGCCCCAGCCATCGGGGACCTCACAGTGGTCCTGACCCCCGCCCCCCACTTCCTGGGGCCTTGAGCTTCACTGGTGGACTCGAGATCAAAGCCCCCTTGTTCTGGTGTGACCCTGCCCAAAGTCCTGCGAGGACAGGATGGCATTCTGGTTTTATGCAAAGAAACCAGACTCCTCTGCCCTAATCAGTGGCAGAGCCGAGATTTGAACCCAGGGCTGTGAGGGTCCACTGGCATGCGTGGTGGCTGACGACCTCCTCTCCCAGTGCAGCTGAGCCCACATCAGCCCACACAGACCTGTGCTGACGGGTGTAATGCTAATGGCAACAGCGTCCCTGGGTAGCGGACCTACGGGGGGGGCCAGCCACGGCCGTCTCGATCAGCCCTCCTGCGGCCTTGCCGGTGGGGGCCTCCATCTGCAGGCTCAGCACTGGGGTGCCCAGGCTGCTGCTCTTCAGCCCCTCAGTGTGGACTGCCCACAGCGGGAGCACCCCCTGTCCCCACACCCTGGGGACACAAGAGTGCTCAGGGCAGGCGAGGGACCACGCAGTTAGTTGCTTGATCTCATTCAGGTGGGAAAACAGCCCAAAGAGGTTAAAGGACTGGTCTTAGGCCACAGGTCCCCTGGGTTGGGACGCTCCTACAAGACCCCCTCCCTCCCTATACAGCGTGCCCGTTCCCCACCTCTCCTGGGTTCCAGTGAGCTACACCCAGGGGTGCAGGCACCTCCTGGGCCTGCAAAGGGAGGCACCTGTCCTCGGCCCCTCTGTCCCTGGTGCTGGGACAGGAGTCGGGAGTGTGGCTCTGGGGGCCCTCAGGCCTCGTCATGTCTGTCCGTCTCTCCCATTGGGCTGCACACGGCCCCAGGATGGAGAAGCTCCTCAAAAGCAGAGGCTGTGTTTCCCCGACATGGGGAGCCCCTGAAGGCAGGCAGAATAGTGTGGTGGAAAAGGCAGAGTCAGGCAGATGTCCAGAAAACCCTGGCTGTGTGATCTGGGGCTGGTGGCTTGACCTCTCTGATGCGACTGTCAGCCGGAGCCATAAGCCCAGCCCTGTCAGCCTCACGAGGTTGATTGAACAGTGGGAGCAAATATTGCCCATGTCGTCCTGGGGTAGGGGACAGTGCTGGACTTGAAGTCAGAATGACCCGGGTTCGAATCCCAAGCCTGCCTCTGCAATTTCTTCGAGGAATGAGGACATAATATACCCCAAATCAAAGATTCAAAGCAGAGTACAGAAGACAAACACAAGTGTCGCTGGCCTAATGTGCTCAAGCAAAGATGGACTGGTGACAAATACTCCTCCCCCGGATGAGTAAGCAGGGCCCAGCTCCAGAAGGGCTCACGCCCCCCCCACCCGCGTTCCCCGCTGAGGCCACCGGCTCCGCGCCTTTCTGGCCCACTGAGGGCCTCACCCCAGAGCAGGGCGCAGGCTTTCCGGCGGTCCCTGCTCCACCACTCAGCTTGAACCAGCTGTCCCTCCCTTTCCCTGCAGGCCTGGGAAGCCCAGACTACTACCCCAGTTTCCTGAGGGAGGAATCCAGGTTTGGAGGGGTGAAAGGACTTGGAGGGGTAGGGGCCCTCAGCCGGAGAGCCCCCGCCTCGAGGCCCTAACCCCGCCCCCGCCACGCCACGCCACGCCCCCGACCGGCCCCGCCCCCAGCCGTCTCCGGACTCTCCCTGGAGAACTACGGCGGTTTTTAAAAGCAGGAAGGAGGGGCAATGGGCTGAGTTGGGAGGGAGGGGAATAAAAGGAGACCCTCCCCAGTTCCCGCCCCTCCCACCGCATCCCCAAAGCCGCGAGGAAGCGTGAAAGGGGCCCTACCGGGCTGAAGGGCATCCAGGTTCTCACACGGGACGTCGTCGTAAATCACATCTTCTTCCAGGGCAGGGAAAGTGAAGCGGTCGACTGGGAGCGAAGAAGGGGGAGGGAAAGAGCACGAATAAGGCCGCGGCGGCCCGGGCGGAGGCGGCCGCCAGACTGACATCAGGCTGCACCAGCTGGCAGCTCCCCGGCCAGCATCAGGCGGCGCGGGCCCTGGGGAGCGCCTGCCCCGCGGCGCTAGGAGGACACTGGTTCGCCTCCTCCCCGCCCCCAGCCTCTCCAAGGCACCCTCCCAGCGACCGAGGAAGACCCCATTTGCCTCCCTGCCACCCACGTGCCCGCCCATCTGGCCGACAGGCAGCTGCTGTGAGCACCTGCCGGGAGCATGACGCAGACCCAGCACCTGGGGCCACGGGCATCCTCCGTTGCCCAGGCCCCCAGCATTACCCTAGAAGGAGCCACCTCCCAGCCAGAGGCAGGGGAGGGCAAACTAGCTCCAGTGGGTAGTGGAAATAAAGGGAGGAGGCTGGATTTGGAGAGTGGGATTAAGAAGAGCCCCCCCAAACTCAGCCGGCAGAGCCCTGATAGGTGAACAGTCAGCAAATGAGCACAGCCCTCCCCAAACATTTCACTGGGAGGTCAACCCAGCACGTCAGGGCATGCACCCAGCCCAGGGTAGCACCCTCCTAGATACAAAATTTAAGCTCACCCCCCAAAACTGTGTGCCCACTCTCTGCTCTTTTGAGGGGCATAGGGCCCCTGCAGAGCGAGGGTTTTGAAAGCCAGTCCCCACCCCTGATGGGAGCCTGTCCTCGCCCCACAACCCCCCAGGAAGGCATGGGACCTGCTGGCCTCCGAGGTCCCCGCCACTCTATCTAACTGTGATGCTTCCAGCCGTCCCGGGGCCCCAGAGCCCTGTCGGAGCCTCGTCCCACGACCGCTCCCTCCCACCACGGACTCTGCCTCCCACGTGGCTGCAGACCTGCCCACCTCTGTCTGGCCACGGGCCTCCCTCTCCCCCCAGCCTCCTCATGGGGATGCAGCCCACCCCACCGTGTCTCCCTATCTCCTAGCTACGCCCCCACCCCACGGTGACTGAATTGAAATGCAAATGTGGCTGCAGCCTCGGCCTCTCCCAGCTCCCAGTTGCCTTAAAAAAAGTCTGACCCCTGAGGCCCAGGAGGAGCTGGGGAGCGGGCAGCCTCGCCCGTCCCTGTTGGGCCTTTGGTGCTCACTGATCCCCAGTGCCAGGCGTCCCCTCTGCCTGGACACCCGTCCCCTGAGCCCTACTCCCTGGCTCTCTGCCTTCAGGGCTCACGGATACTCCCCACTCCGCCACCTGCACTCTCTGCAGTGCCTGCCTGCCTGCCTGCCTGTGCGCCTGGCCCTGCTCCCAGAGGAAACTCACCTTGGTCACAGGGGGACACCCACCAACTGTTCTGGAAGTATTTGGGGAACCCATAAGCGACTGAATGTGCGGTCCACTCCTGGACCGAGGCTCTCAGGACAAATGGGGGCAACTGCCAAGCTTGGGCAGTGACCTGAATGTCTCTGAACTGCCACCCAGTGAGGACGGCCCCTCAGCTCACGTGGGCCCATGTCAGCGCTCTCGGCTTAGAGTGAGGGACTCTGGGGTTATCCTGGCACCTCCCTCCTGGGTCTAAGGCCTGGGGCGGGGCGGGGGACTTACTTCGACGGGAGCTCTTCCGCTTCCAGCTGGAGCGCCGGACCCCGGGCAAAGCTGCGTCCACAGCATCTCCATTGCTCACCACAGCCGGCACCCTGTGGGCCGAGACACAGTGCCAGTGAGCCAAAAGGGAGGAGGACAGAGCTTCTGGTGGCAGGAGAGACGGAGAGAGCCTGCTCTTGAAGCCTCCAGCAACCCCTCAGCAGGACAGCAGAGCTTGTGATGGGTAGGGGTGGGCCGAGGACGGGAGCCTCTCGCCCCCAAGGCCGTCGGTCAGGAAGCTTCAGAGGCCTCGGACGAGCCCCTTCCTCTCCTTTAGAAGGCCCCACAGGCCGACCTGCTGCTTTAACCGCATGAAGATCACATATACCACAGCGACCAAGGCCAAGTGCTCCCCAGGCATGGGCACCCGTCTTCCCTCCGGCACAGGTTCATTGGGAGCCCCCATCCCCCCCCCCAGTTCGCCCACAGGGAGTTGCAGGCCAGGCTGGGGGACCCGCCTGCTGGGAGAAACGAGGCCTTGCAAAGGTTTGCAAAACCACGAGTGGGAGACAGAGCTTAATCCCCCCACACACCTGAGAACGGGCTGGACTCAGGCACCCGCTTCCCGGGAGCGGACACGCAGAAGGAAACGGTGGGGATACAGCAGACCCCACGCGGACCGAGTGACCACGTGACCCTCTCCGGTGACGTCACTCGGACACCACACCCCACACCCCGACATGATGCAACACGAGGAGGGCGCCCACCTCTGCAGTTTTCTCACCCAAGCCCATCACCCCAGTCCAACCCGGAGAAACCCGCCAGACGAGCGCAGACCGGGGGACACGCCACGGAATCCCTGCCCACCGCTGCTCGGTGCTGTCACGGTCACAAACACCAAGAGAGACCTGAGACGCTGTCGCAGACCGGAGCAGGCTAAACGACACCCACAGGCAACCTGGGGTCCTGGACGGGATCCTGGAGCAGAAGAAGGACGTGGGCAGAAACCAGATCGAGCCTGGAGCTCAGTGAACGGTTCCATGGTTCCTTAGTTTTGACAAATGTTCCCTGGTCACGTGAGATGCTAACAACGAGAAAGCGGGGTGAGGGGGTCGGTAGAACCCTATGTGCTACCATTACAGCTTTCCTGTCAGTCTGGAACTAGTGCAACCGAAAGAGGGAGGGTGTGTGTGTGTGTGTGTGTGTGTGTGTGTGTGTGTGTGTGTGTGTTTTAAAGCCCACGCTCAGAACACAAGGGCCACAGCTGCCCATCCAGAGGGCAGAGGCCTGCAACTGTCCAAGACAGCAGCCGCTGAGGTCAAGACTTGACTTGAAGCCCTGGCTGGCGTAGCTCAGTGGATTGAGCGCGGGCTGCGAACCAAAGTATCGCAGGTTCGGTTCCCTGTCAGGGCACATGCCTGGGTTGCAGGCCACGGCCCCCAGCAATCGCACATTGATGTTTCTCTCTCTCTCTCCTTCTTCCTCCATTCCCTCTCTAAAAAATAAATAAACAAAATATTTTTTAAAATCTTTAAAAAAAAAAAAAGACTTCACTTGAACTTCCTGATACTCAAGCCTTCAGCCCTTAGTGGAGGATGGGGTCGGGGGAGATGACGCCCAGGTCAGTGCAGGGAGAAGGGAGGGAGGAGAATGAGCAACATCCCGTGAGTGGGCCCTTGGCCTTCACCCTCCCTGTGCTGCGGGCGGCAGGCAGAGGGACCTGCCCAAGATCACGCTGCCCGTGAGAGGCAGAGCCAAGACGATGGAGCCCACTTGCCTGGCCCCGAAGCCGGGTTCTCATGACTGCGTCTTGGGTAACAGAGCCCGGGCAACTGTGGTCGTGGAAACGTCTATGCTGCCCCGTGAGCCTCACGTGGCTGCTGGGCACTTGGGATGTGGCTGGTGGGACCACTGTGACTAAGGAACTCAATTTTATTTTCAACAGCTCCATGGGGCTAGTGGCCACTGCACAGGACAATGCAGGTCTAAGTCACCTATTGGAGAAGCTAATCTCAGCTCCAGGTTCCCAGCCAGGAGTCAGCAGTGTCGCCCTGGGGTGAGGGACTCAGTCCTCGAGGGGGAAGGCTTTCCACCAACAGGAAGAAAATGCCAAGAGGGGGCGGGGCTGGTCTGCACCGGGAGGGGCTGCTGGGATGAAGGGAGCCACCTGAGCCCCAACCCCCCACCAGCTGCTTCTGTGGGCCAGCGCCTGCTCAGACGGTGCTGGAGGCAGCCACTCCAAAATGCTCCGACAGAACCCGACCGTTCCAGCCGGAGTCGACGTGCAGGTCGGGCAGAGTCTGGTTGAAAGTTTGCTTTGAGACCTTAACTGTGACAGCTGGTGACCATGATGACATACCTGGGAGGTCCTGCTTGCTCTGCTTTGCTTATGCAGGGGCGGGCAAAAGCAGGTTTACAGCTGGAATACTGTGCAGATAGTACAATCATTAACTAATAATAACAAGAATAAGCTCTGTTTCCTATGCTCACAAGTGTAAACCTACTTTTGCCCCCGCCCCCGCATCTGCGTGTTTCATTGCACAACAGCGCGTATTAGGCATCATCAGCCTTGTTGCTGCAGATGGGGAAACGGGGGCTTGCAGAGACTTAACGACGACTTACCAGCGTCACTTGGTGCCATCAGAGGGAGCTGGGACCCACAGCCCAGGCTGCCTGCCGACAAAGTGTGTGCCCTTTCAACCAGGAGTAGGGGGCTTACATTTGAACGTTGACTGAGACCACGGATTCACCATGACACAAGGTCACTGCACCTCGCTAGACTATTTAGCGTGGTGGCTGGGTTGTTTTTTTTAAGGGACAAATAGCACCCAGCATAGAGTCAGAAACACAAGTCCAAGTCTTCGTCCAAAAGAAATCGTGAGGGTTCCAGGTGTTTTTGTGCTGGACATTTTGCCACGAACACTTGCACCACAAAACTAACTAGCCGTAAGGCAACGGGGCCGTAAAAAGGGATAAAATGCGGTTGGTGTGTTGTTGTTGGTTTCATTTCTCCACTGACGAACCAGCCGCCTTTGGCAAACTAAAAATGTATTTGAGCCAGTTGTCAATTTGGCTTCATTTCTCCATTGACAAACCGGTGGGGGAAATAGTGAAACAGGGATGCTCTTCAAACAGTGTGCGCTTCTTCCAGAAAACCACCCGCCCAGCAGTCGGCTGCTTGTTTTGAAACACGCCGCGTCGGGAGGAGAGGAAAGGACGCACCGAGAGCCGCCTTGGAGGGCGCAGAGCCGAGCCCGCACTTCCCACAGGGCGCACCCGGGTGCTCAGACGCGACCCACCAAGTCCAATCAGGTGCTTGCACGGGACTGCCATGAATCCACACACCTTCTAAATAGACTCCGATCTTTTGTATGGCTCAGTGGCCTTTTTAATTCGGCTATTCATTTTTTTATTATTTATTGATTTTAGAGAGAGACAGAAGGGAGAGAGAAACATCAATCTGTTGTTCCACTGAGTTATGCATTCATTGGTGGATCCTTGTACGTGCCCTGACCGCTGATCGAACCTGCAACTTTGGTGCAACGGGACGACGCTCTAAACCGCTGAATGACCCGGCCAGGGCCTGTTACTCATTTTCATATCCCTCCTTTGTTTGTCACGATTTTATCTCTCTCGTGGCAAAAGTGCCTTATGGTCAATTAGTTACGTGGCAAAAATGCTCGTGGCAAAAACGTCCCTGGCAAAGAGGCTGCTACAAAAATACTGGACGTGCCGCGTGACGCCCAGCCGCTGGGCTGCAGTGCAGGTCACCCAGAGAATCCCCGAGAAGGCCCTGGGCAGGCTCTAAAGACAGCGTCCAGGGGCAGCGGGACTGGGTGGGTATTTTTGGATGAGGTCAGGCAGCTTTCGCAGGGACCTGGAAATACTTTATGACATATGGAAATCCAGGGTGGGGCTGCAAGCATGAGCCTCTGGGCTGTGCATTACCAGAACAGAGCACACTTAATTTTAACTAACTTCATTTGAAATAGCCACATGTGGCTCGTGACCATCATACAAGACAGCACAGAGCTCAGCCATCTGCACCGTCGGAGAAGCTAGTCTGGGCTCACTTCCATGGACCAGCCAGTCCAGGTGCCGGTCCCGGCTTCCTGGGCTGAGGAGTGGGGATCCCACAGCACAGAGAAGTCACCTTCATGCCCATCCGCACTGCCTCCATGGCTGAGGCAAACAGAGACCCTGGGAGCCCCAAGGGAGGGAAGAGACCAGTGCCTCTGGGTGGGCAGGTCTTCCTAGAGTGGCCGGAGACCACCATGCACCCCCACCCTGTATTTTGCTGGCATCTACTCTGCGTCCAGGCTGTGTTAAATGCCTGGGGACAAGTGCATGTCTTATTCTGACTATTTCACAAACAGGAAGTCCCTAGCCCCAGGCCACCTGGCCAGCAAGGGACAGAGCCCTGCTGCCCCCAGGCCGGAGTGGCCCAGGCAGATGCAGATGGAGGAAAAGGCCTCCCAGGCAAGGGAGGAAAAGGGCCTGGCAAGAAGTGAGCCCGGGATGCCTCCTCCCACCTTGCCCCATCGGGCCAAGGCCACCGGCCCACCCTGCACTCACAGGGCCAGGGGCGGGGGGTAGGGGGTGCCGTGGGCAGCCTCTCCCGGCTGCTGAGGGGCTGGGGAGTCTAATTCTCCCTGTAAGCAAACACTCCATCTGGGGCCTCCCCAGATAATGAAAGAGCCATAAAAAGCAATAAGAGGCCAATTAGCTCACCCTTATCTGAGCTTCCTGCATGCTAAGGCCTCCCAGCTTGCACAGGAGAGAAAGGCCGGCTACTGACGGCAGACTGACAAGGCAGGGCCACCGCCCACCAGATATAAAGGAAAGGTGCCAAGACTACGGAAACGGAGAGGGACTGAGAATAACAAGGTTGATGAAAAGGAGGCAGAGGCCGACAGACAAAAAGACCTCTCCCAGGTGGCCGGCGACAGGGCTCACTGACCAGACCTCGGTCAAGTGCCCCAGAAGGCACCACGGTGCTCGGGGCACTTTCTGTGCCCGCCTCCTGTGTCACCAGTAACAAACCAGGGACAAGAGGGGAGTGAGCCCCCGGTGACAGCGAGGACCTGCCCTGTCCCCTGTCCCGGTCACCCTG